CCATATGGCATATATAATACAGACAGTAGTTAACACAGCCCATCACTGCTCATATATGCCTTTTGCACTGATCTTTCTGAACTGTTTTTCCTTCTCCAACAACAGGTGGCATTACCAGGGGCTCATTTCTCTGTCTTCCATGAGGAATGTGATTCCACAGCAGTATGTCTCAAACAGCAGAGAGCCTGGCAGACTATGACGTAATGGCCTAAAACGTGCTATCAGTTAGAAGCAGGGGCCAAAACACGTGGAGTTGGCTCCTCTCTCCGCTCACCCCCAGGGCCCCTCTCTATTCTCCTTTTCCTCATCTCTCTCTCAACCCCCCAACCCCACCCCCACCCCCCCAGCCCCTCCACCTCCCTTCTGCTCCAACGCACTCTGTGTTTATGAGTGCATGAATCGCTCCATTTCACTACACCCAACTCCCAGTCCACTACCAATCCCACAACTGCTTCAATAATAGAAGTCACCCCTCCCTGTGCTTTCATTTCCATGACAACCCACAATGAGGAGAGAGAGAGAGAGAGAGAGAGAGAGAGAGAGAGACAGAGAGAGAGACGGAGAAAAATAGCAGAGGCAGGAGAAAACGTGAATGAGAGGGTGGGAGTGTCTTCCCTTGACCTCTGGTTCCATTTGTAAGGAGGGAAACCTTCCCTACAGCCTGAGTTTCAGTGAGGTTAAACTGGTCAATCAACAGAGCACCAGCAGCAGCACTGCACAGTCATTATGCAAGGTGCCTCTTGAGCAAGCACATAAACATAATTTTGTATAGTGCTTTTTAAAAAATAAGTTACAATGTGCTTAACATGAGAAATAAAGGACAAATAAAAAATAAAAGAGGCACAAATGAAAATAACAGGAAGTCTACAGCCACTCTAGCAGCTGAGTGATGTACTAAGGCAGCTAAATGTTAGTGTCAGCATGCTAACATGCTCACAATGACTATTCTAACCATGTTCACCCCAATTAGTTAAGCATGTTCAGCACTAAACACAAAAAATCTGGTGAGGCTGATGTGAACGTCATTAGTTTTGTAGGTATATTCTCACAAACCATAGTATTGAGCAAATTCAATTGTTGTCCTACTAATGGTGCTAGGTGAAAAATGAAGAGTCATCACAATGAACGCACAGGGAGGCATGAATATCTGTACCAAATAGATATCAATCATGGAAATACACACAATAGGCCTACTTGTCACTGGATAAGTGGAATTTTTAATCTGATGGTGGCACTAGATAAAAAGTCAGGGTATAACCAAAGTCAGATTGATTCATCCTCTGGGCACTATATATATATATATATTCCCATTCTAGTCAGTAGTGTGGCTACGAACAAGGAGAAAAGAAGATGCGCATCGATTTGATTTATAACATATTAAAACAGAGAATATTTTCTAAAAGGTTACAAATTATTTTATATTTCATTTGCATGCAGGAATAAACAGTTCTTACTACTTTCAAACCTTGGGTGCAGATACACCAAATCCTTTATCACCTTTGGAATGGCCTCATTAATACTAAAAGGTTAACTCAAAACATTGATTCAGTTTGAAATAGATAGGTGGCCTTCAGAGTGATGCAAACACAACAGAGATAAATAAAGGGTGAAAGGTCTTTAGGTCAAGCCCCAGTGAATCTTTGATACACACATGTACACACATGCTATTACACATGCGTATGCACACAAACACACACACATAAGATTAGTTGTTTTAATTCATCTCCCTGGATTACAGCCAGGATTAATTTTATATGCCTCAGAACTGGCGAGGGAATTCTTTGTCCAGCTGTAACCATCATGGCTCTCCATCAACTGTGTCATGTTGTGTCTGGCCTGCTCTAGTTCTAGCTGCTACTTATAGGCTATTCTTTTCCAAAAGGAGCCAGAGTGGAAGAAAAGAGATAACATGACATGATTGGCTTCCAGTTAATTGCCTGTAAGATTATTCCTTCCTCCTGCTGAGGGTCATGAAGATAACAAAATTCCCATGAAATGCTCCTGTGGAAGTAACAGTTGCATGCAGTGAAGTGGCAAAAATATTTTCTAAATCAAATCTGACAGTGACAGCATGTAAACAAATACTGACACATCTCTGGCTTCTGCAAGGTAATCCAAGACTACATAATACTATTTACATAACATACAAGTATTCCAGAAAGCATTCCAACACTGTTAGGTGTCATCAACACTCAGAGGAGTGACAGCAATGCAAAGAATGTGTTCATAACCTGCTGTCATGTGATCATGTTGGACATTTCTACTGCAAGGTAAAAGAAAACGGTATGGTCGGGGAGACGTGTACCAATTTAGCAAGGAAATAATGGGGAGTATGGCTGTGACATGATCCATGTGTGCATTCTGTAAATGAGTGAGTACATGCAGGCATGTAAGCATTTGAGTCCACACTTTATACAGACCTCAGTAATAGAAGCACAGCAGTCAGCTCAGTTGTTAATGATATGTTGTAAAACAAATAATGAATTGGTAATTAACAAGCTCTTGAAGTGGTGGTGCATTAAAGACCAGAGACACAATTTACTCTTCAGAGCAGAAGCATTTTTAATCAAATCCCACAAGAAATGGTCACATTTAGCTTTCTGTGTGCATGTTGGCACAAGTTGAGTCCAGGACAGCGGGGTGACCTGTCCTGTGGGAGCTGGCAAGGAAGAGGGTGAGCTCAGTAATCCCAAAGGTTCTGGGCCTCCCAGTGTGGCGTCCTCAATCCCCCAAGACCCTGCCAAAATCCCCCTGAAAGCAGTCCTGATTATTTGCCTATCAGTGGCTTAGCTCCACCCCCAGCCAGAACAGTGATAGAGGGATTTGAGAAGGAAGAGACAATAGCAACACAATTTCCTTATCCTTATTTCCCTATATCCCTTGGTTCTTCTGATAAACTGAATGCAGAAAGCCACAGAATGTGTCTAGAAATGAAAAAAACCTATCATGATGATGACAAAGGTCCCAAGTTTTGGGACAAAAGTTACATTGTCAGCGTGATCAATGAGAAAACACTGTAACCTTGACTATGTACTCTCCACACTGTCAATAGATACATTTTCCTACATGAGCCAGTTGACACCAACTAGCTGCACCATTATGTCTGATCAAAGCTAAGTTTGCATCCTATTAGCTGGACAATCCTAATGCTATCATGCTATAAAGCTTATGAATAAGGAAGACTCAGGGGGTTGCGCTCACATTACATTCAATTATCTTTAATAGGAAATGAGTTTGAGGTGACAGCTGCTGCCCACATTGTAGCTGTAAAGCATTGTAACTAACAGCTACAATGACCATTAGCATTAGTATGTCAACCATGACAACAGCCACGTGACAATTTTTCTTTATTTCTTAGTAAAGATATCGTTTTTAAAGATTACGCCAAAAAAGTACATAAGTCAGCTCCAACCATGTGAAATAGAGAGCCATTTGGATACAGGTTTTCATTTAAGCCTATGAGTATACTACTGGATCTCACTTATTAGCACAATCAATTTAGATTTTAATCAGAGAACGCAGTAATGGGTAAAATTACCTGCTGTAGGTTTGACAGATATCTCAGTGACAGATAGCTGGACACACAGACATACATACATATATTGGGTGGGAAATCCTCTAATTCATGAAGGGTTTTCAAATTCAGGATCAATATTAGAACACTATACTGAATCAATTTTTTTTTACATACTAATCATTATCATATAGAAATCTCACAATTGAAAATGTTTTTCCTATATAAAGATAATACTTCACACAATTAATTTATTACACAAACAACATGGAAGCATGGGAGGACGGGAGTGGAGTGAGGATACATGATTGTGTCGGAATTGAATTTCATTGATAAAATCTGAGTATTCATTTCCTTTCTGATACCATAGAAGGAGGACATAGAAGGAAATGCTGGACTTGATTTATTGTCGTCCTACCTTCTGATTTGTTCAGCATTCTGAATTATTGCAGAGGTAAATCACTGTGAGAGGTCTAATAAGTCTTTTGGCCAAAGTGGATGGAATGTTTTTTGGACCTTATGATGCTAAATGAATAAATTATGTCATACATTTATGAACACAGGAAAGCAAAATGCCAGTTTTAAATCATAGTGGGAGTTGCTCTTGTATTAGGCTGCAACACACGGCAGCCTATTTTGATTAGCTTGAGCGCATGTCAGATGAGGGATATTGAACATTTAAAATGTAAATATATTTGAAATTATCATTGGGTTTTTGCTGCATCTTCTTTTGCCTCGTTTGTTGTCCTAGACAAAATTATGGCATTAAATACTGTATATTATAATACAATATTACTACTATCTTTAGTAAGTGCCATAGTTATTATAGCCAACCCCAGTCTCTCAATGAAGTCGTATATCTATTGACAGAGCACTGGAACTGACATTCATATGGCATTTAACAAGCTTATAAAATATAAAAAATAATGAGCTTAAAAAAATAATAAACACCCTCAGGACCACTGACAGATTACTAGGCAATAATGACACACTGGAAAAAACAAATCACATGTGACGTTTACAAATGTCTTTATGTGCAAAACGTTCTGATCCCGATCCCCGTTTATTTCCGTTCGTAATATTACTCAAGCCCAACTTCTAAATCTTAAACCCAAGTTTTAACACTTGTACCTTTTAACGCTTGTACCTTAAACAAATGAGGACTAGACAAAATGATTAATCAGAAAAAGTCACTCACCTAAGTAGTCTGAAAAAACAAAAAAAAACGTAGACCTGCACAGAAGTGTGGCTACACAATAAAACACACACATAGCACAGACACATACAGAGACACAGACACACAAAGCCAATGTTGCTGTTTCTAAGGAGATGTCAACATTGTGAAAACAGATGAGGAAACACGTGTGGAATTTTAAGACTGTTCACCACTTCATCACTTCTTCCAACCTACGTCACCCACTCAAAAAACAAAACAAAAGTTCCTCTTTGTTACTCTGTTACAAACAAAACCAACAACAAGCCAGTCTGAGAAGATTTAAGGTTCCTGTTTATTATCAGAATGAGTTTTAACAGGATATACAGTACAAATAATGTGCCCCCCACCCCGAATGAGAGAGACATTCATCTTAAATATAGTATACCCTTAATAAGTTAGGTCCTGCTATGTTTTCTGTAATACACAGTAAAACAGCATCATCAGAAAGCACCATTAAAATAGCTTTAAACACGTTTGCTGGCAGACAAATCAGTACTACTACTACAGGATACTACTTATTAAGGCATAATTATAATCTCACTTGCCAAAGCTCTGAGAAAATGTAAAATAAATGCTGGCAAGATCTAAGTTAATATACAGTTAGATTCTGCCTTAATATGCACAAAAACTGTAAGAAGGGGTCAGTATCTTGAAAAGAAAATAGAAAATACATTCACAGTTCAACCTGTTATCTATCCTGCTTTACATCAGTTCCCTGCAAAGTCAGATATGGTCACAGCTTCCTCACTTCCTCCAGAGGACACAGGACCAGCCTGTCAATAAATCTGTTCTTTGATGTACAACATCAGCAGCAATTAAAGAAGAGTGTTCTTGCTGTCCTCATTGTGTGTGCTGAGCTGGGTCTTCTTGTGAGCTGTGATGGCTGCCCAGATTCGACACAGCATGCCACCTCTGGAACAGCAAGTTTGGACAGATTTAAATACAGTGTTACAAATGAGCTATCCCAAACACCACCGGGGCTTTCTGATGAAATTCAAACTAACGAGGTAGACTGCATCATTTCTACACCACCATCTCTGAGGGCAGTCCCTTCCTACATTTCTGCATGGACAGATGGTGTGAGGGTGATGTGCGGAGGCAGCTCACCTTATTCCACAGTACATCAAGTCATCCCTGGAGGCCATGTAGAGTAGACAGTCCAAGGTGAACTTATGAGAGAGCAACTAGAAAACCAGATCACATAGGTGTGGATTAACAGTGGGTAGATGAGTAATACCAAAGCCCCAGGAAAAAAACAAAACAAAGTTGATCTTGAGTTGAGTTTACCTTATGAATTGTGTCTTGGTCTACAGGGATTGACTTGAGCCAGCGCACCAAAGCCTTCACTTCTGGATGAGAGCTTTTCTGTGACGGCAATTCACCATCTATAATGTACAGAGATTACAACCATTCAGGCAGCCTGGTGCAAATTACAGACATGCTATATCTCATGGTGTTGATAACACTTATCGTGTTTCCGCAGGCATGCTGTGTAATCATTATTCAAACAGACGAGTCAAGTTTGAGCACATTAGCTGATGATCCGATGGCCTACACCTCTGACACAAACCAGTCAGGCAGAAATCCGGAGCCTGAAGCTGAGGCGTGGAAGAGCCTGACTGGTTCAAGTCTTAAGAAACAGTTAATGAGAACCAGTCAGTGTACTGATAATCCACATAGGGCTTGGTCCATTGATGTAATACTGGTCATGCCGCAGCTTGCTCTGGTTAATCATCAGACTATAGGCTGAGCTCTTACCATCTGTTGGATGATGGCTCACTCGCAAATTAAGGTAAATGAAAAAGCAATTTTAGCAAAATTATTATTATATATTACATATTCTCCATTTTAACTTGGCATATTTTCTTTGCCAAATATTACAAGGAGGGGGAGTAACAAACAGACTTACTTTAACTGGATTTAGCAGTTTGATGATGAATGTTTGTTTTAACCTGCTGGAAGTACTAAATGGGTAGGTTTCAAGATACCAAAGTCAAAGCTACGTGAGAAGACTATGTTTTTCCCAGGGTATTTTAATATATATGAGATATTGAGAGGGTATATTCAAAAGTGACTGTCTTTTTAGTTTCCATGGACAGCGCTCCCTTACTGAACCACAGTGCAGGGGTACGTCCTGTTAAGTTACGCTGTATGGAGAAAACACTGGCAATAAACCTACACGTAACTATCAAAACGAAGATGTTGACTTGATTTGGCTAATTGAGACTGCTCAAAATCTCATTAGATTTGGCCAGCTTAAGAATCCATTTCTGCAGAGAACGAGGACTGTGGAGGTTTCCTACAATTGTTGTTTGCACTGCTTCCTCTGCTTGACCCATGAATGTCTCAACATACATGATGTGATTATTGTATTAAGATAGACTTGAAACTTTTTCTTTAACAATTTATCTAAAACCACAGTATCTGAACTGTGCTGCAAAACAGAGACATTCTTACGTACACTTTCAAACCCACCTGGCACTCATACCAATGTTTTTGTGCTATCTACATGGATGTATGGAACTGTGTGGTTAAAAAAAAAAAAAACATTACCATGAGTGACTGCTGAATTCCTCAGGGAATCTATCTGTTCCTGTTTCCTCTGGACATAGTTCCTCAGTAGCTCCTGGTACTCTCTCTCCTTCTCATTCAGCTGACTCAGCAGGCTGAAACACAGCCATCATCACTCAGCAGAAAGCAGTGCAACTCAAAATTCTTATTAATCACAGCGTGCTGTCTATAAGCCAGTGTTAGGTCTTTTTCACAGCACAAACATTTCCTTTTATGTAGCCTTGAAAACTAAATACTTCACAGACATGACAATAATAGTAGTATATTAAATCCATTTCAAGCACAACATGAACATGAAAGCTTCATGATAAAGATAACAACTAAATTCTACCCTCTGGTCTGTAGTCGTAGGTCTCTCAGTTTCTCACTGAGGGGACAGTTGGTGCTGAGGACAAGGTCTGTGGGGTAGTTGGGGCTTGCTGTAGGCTGAATCTCATTTTTGGTTGGATGGATCTGCTGCGTGTCTGCTGGCGCCTCCAGCTGGTCAGGGACAAGAACTACAGGAGTGTCTGGGTCAGCACACAGATCCTCAGGAGTGCTGTCCTCCATCTCAAATGAGGACTGCATCTGGAGTTTCAGCTCTGAGAGGCAGAGAGGGGAGTGGTGGGAAAGAATGAAGAAAGCATAGGCCTACACAATGAATAAATAAACAACATAAATTCCCCAAAAGTAAACAAACAGGTAACTAAATAAATTAATAGATGAACTGGATACACAAGGAGAGAAACATACAGTCCCCTCCAAAAGTATTGGAACGGTAAGACAAATTCCTTTGTTTTTGTTGTTCACTGAAGACATTTGGGTTTAAGATCAAAAGATGAGTCTGAGACAAGAGTTCAGAATTTCAGCTCTTATTTCCTGGTATTCACATCTAGATGTGTTAAACTCAGGACATATCATCGTTTGTATTAGACCACAGCATTCTTAGGTGAGCAAAAGTAATGAAAAAAATAATCTTAAAGTAAAGTCTTTAATATTTGGTGGCATAAACCTTGATTGCAATAACTGCCTCCAGCCTGCGACCCATCGACATCACCAAACTGTTGCACTCTTCATTTGTGATGCTATTCCAGGCTTTTAACGCAGCTTCTTTCAGTTCTTGTTTGTTTCGGGGTGTTTCTCCCTTCAGTCTCCTCTTAAGCAGCTCTACTGGGTTAAGGTCAGGTGATTGACTTGGCCAGTCTAAAACCTTCCACTTTTTCCCCTGATGAAGTCCTGTGTTTTGTTGGCAGTGTGCTTTGGCTCATTGTCCTGCTGCATGATGAACTTCCTCCCAATTAGTTTCAATGCATTTCTACGAAAATTGGCAGACAAAATGTTTCTGTACACTTCTGAATTCATTCTGCTGCTACCATCATCAGTTACATCATCATCAGCCTGTTCCAGAAGCAGCCATGCACGCCCAAGCCATGGCATTACTTCCACCATGCTTCACAGATGAGCTTGTATGCTTCGGATCATAAGCAGTTCCTTTCTTTCTCCACACTTTGGCCTTTCCATCACTTTGCTAGTGATTAATCTTGGTCTCATCAGTCCATAAGATTGTGGTACAGAACTTCTGCTGCTCATCTCTGTACTTCTTTGCAAATTTCAACCTGGCCTTCTGATTCTTCCTGCTGATGAGTGGTTTGATCTTGTGGTGTGGCCTTTATATTTCTGCTCTCTGAATCTTCTTCCAACAGTGGATTGTGATACCTTCACCACTGCACTGTGGAGGTTGTTGGTGAACATTTATGTTTTGGGGATTTTCTTCACAGCTCTCATGATATTTCTGTCATCAACTACTGCTGTTTTCCTTGGCCGACCTGTTGGACGTCTGTTGCTCCGTACACCAGTAGTTTCTTTCTTTTTCAGGACATTCCAAATTGTTGTGCTTGCTATGCCCAATGTTTGTCCAATGGCTCTGGTCAATTTTCCTTCTTTTCTTAGCTAGACAACGACTTGCTTTTCTCCCATAGACAGCTCTCTGGTCTTCATGTTGGTTTATCCTCTTTAACAGGAAATGCAGTCTTTATGGGTTTGAACCAAAGATGAAAACTTATGCTGCATCCGAAAAGTAAAAAAAACCTCCTTTCCTAACCACCTTTCCTTGACCTCGATGGAAAATGGCATGAGGTCAAAGAAAGATGTGGAGGAGAATTCATAAGGACTTGGGAAAAGAAGGCCGCGGGGCTCAGAGAATCCGACTGCTCTTTTCTAAGCAACGTAATTATGCGGCGGCAGATGTTACTGACGTGGCCTGCCGTGATGAAACTACAATGTTCTGAAGATGTACTACAAAAAGCGCATCTTTGACACTGCATCCGTGTTGTTGTAATGCAGGCCATCTAAAGATGGACAACACGGTGGAAAATATTACTTCATAACCAAGATAGCAAAAAGGCAGATAAGGTAGCCTACCAGTCACTAAATAATGGACAGGGTTGTCACATTGAGAATGCTCACACTCACCCTCCTGCCCACCTATAGGCCTATTTATCAACATGAATCCCAATTGTATGTAAATACAGTGTCTCCCACTGAATAACAGCGTAACTGTGGCGAGAGAGCGAGAGAGCGCGCGACGGGGCGAGAGGAGACGCTGAGAGAATATATGCGCTGCGCGGAGCTCTGTGATCAAATACGATTTTACCCATTTTAAATTGTTACAAAATCAATCGGAAATCAATCTGTGGCAATCAGCGTTGATAATGTGGCAGGCCACCACTAATAAATCAGTGTGTGGGAAACTCCTACTGTAGAGGTCATCCAGCTTGATCTTTGCCTTTATTAAAGGCGAGGGTGTCGGCATCTGTGACTGAAGTAAAATCCATAAATGATATTGCTGGAAATACATAACGTGAGGCTACATGGTGCAACATAAATCCTCACTTTGATCACCTTACAAGACAGCTCGCATGGGTCTCAGTTACTGGTGACAGTTTAAGATATGCATATAGCAAGTTATGGCATAAGAGAGAAAAGTCTTAATAGCCAATGGTAACTTACATGGTGATCAACCTCCTTTATCCATCATGGTTGGTGATTTACAGTATTTATTTTTTATTGTAGAAAACACTTTATGGCTTTTTTCAACAACCTGAAACACAAAACGGTGTCGAAACAATATTAGATTACAAAAAAGCCAAAAGAAAACAAACCAAAAGTAAGAAGGTAATTGTGAGTCTTCATAATGTGCTTCATAATATTGCAAGGATGTTGCTAAATGTGGTCGATGGATTTTATCGTTTGAGTCTGAGAACGTGCGCCGCTTTAAATGTTGCCACCGCAAGGAATTGTGGGATGGCATTCTCTCCTTTCCTTTGTAAAGGATGGTCCGGTGTACCCTATGCTAAAGGAGATATGAAAGGAAGCATTGAGGCACCTTTCCTTAGCTTTTAGAGAATTCAAACAGCTCTTATCATGGCTGCCACGGAAATACTTCCGGTTTACTTCACTCAGTTAGGAATCTTCCTAAGCAAAAAAGACTTTTCGAATGCAGCCTTAGACTAGTCATGCAAAGTTATTTAATGTTTGGACAATCAACCTAAAAGGCAACATGTCAGTCACGTGTTCCAATAGTTCTCACTTGAAAAATAGGTGGGTTCAAACAAAGGGTGTTATGTCCTGAGTTGTTTAACACATCTAGATGTGAATACCGCGAAATTTCTTCAATGAACAAAAACAAAGGAATTTGCCTTACCGTTCCAATACTTTTGGAGGGGACTGTATAACCTGAAAGCCGGTTGACAATGTTACTTCCGCAACAACTCATGCCCCTATCTCCAAGGATTTAACCCAGACTACTGAACCTATACAGTATGAGATGAAGCTTTACCTGGTAGAAGCACAGTGATTGCGTATTGGACTGCCTGTCTCAGTAGATTGTCCAGAGCAAACATCCAGTGAGGTTTCACTTGCTGTTGCCTCAACACCTTCTTCACCTACATACAAAGCATAAAGTTTAACACAATAGACAGAAGAGTGATGTTCCACCCAAAAATCTCACCAAGCCCATAGCTGACAGCAGTGTGCACCGGGAAAGTCTGTGTGTTGACTCTGAAGTGACTTACTGCATCTTGGAAGCTGAACAGCACCACCTGTAGGCTGTTTGGTGATACTGCAGCAGAGAGCAGTGTGGCTCGAAGGTCCAACAGGCGACTGGTCAACTGCTTCCTGTCTGGAGAGCGGATGTTTTCTCGCAAGCAGATAATGAGCTTGGTGATGTGCTCTGCAGTTAGCGATGATCCCTCACCATTCTTTTAAGAGAAAAAAAAGATTAGAAAAATAAGCATACTGTAATTTCTATACTATCTCACAAGTAGGGGTAAACCGGGGCAAAAGTTTTTCAGTATAAAAATAAATCGTGTTTATATGTCAGGAGTTCCTGTTGGGACGAAAGTAACACTTTTGTCCCACTACAGTGACCACAAGTGTTTCTTTTGTCCCGCTGTTAATGCGGTGACTTTTCTGTGTGTTGCAGCATTTATTAAAACATGTTTATGTCATATTATACCAATATGCCAATAGCGTGGGTCAGAAAGACAGAGGTTTAATTCAGCCAGATGTTTCTGAGAAGGCGTTTCTGGACATCTCTATTAGAAACATTAGTCTCAGGTCAGCTGATAAAGTTGCAAGGCATATGCCATGCAACTTTGTTCAGATAATGCAGGAGGAGGACAGAGATAATAACAGAGTGTCTGATATTTATTTTGGCCTGTCTCTTAAGGAGGTCAGTGTAGTAGGTGTCATTAAAAAGCACTCAAAATGCAGATCACTCCTTACACAGTGTTTTCATGCTAAATACTATTTTCCAGCAAGTGTTGCACTTTGTATCATTTCTGTCACTGTGATTACAGCATTACACAGACGTGGTGATGCTGTGTTGTAATTAGCACAGTGCCCTGGGAATGATGCTGCCAAAAATTCCAGAGAGATGGAAAAAGACTTAAGTAGAAAAAAGTTTTAATATAGTTTAATTTAAAAATGTGAATGCAATTGTGAATGCTGCCCAAACAGAACATGACTTTAATATTAATATCTACATCTGAGAACATGACTGCAACGTATAGTGATAAAACCAAATAATTCAAATTAGGAAGTAAAATAAACAAAATAAGAAAAAATTGTGTATAAAAGTGTCTTGGCACAGTGCACATGATCGAGATGACACCATCTGCGCCTCATTTGAGCCAGGAAAATCCCTGACTGTGAGGTGAATATGTTATGTAGGAAGTCAATGGATTTCACAATGTTCTAGTTTTCTTCACCCACCTGAGGCACAGATTCCTGTATATTACAGACGACAAGACTGATGTAGTCAGTGAGGACTCGGTGCAGTGTGGCTCTCCTTTCACTGTCCTTTCTCAGCATAAAAAGACCAAGATTCTCCTCTGTTGAGGCTGGACTGCTCATGTCTGATGTAGAGTCGTCTGGTATTCTGGACAGTAGGGGGCAATAAAGAGATCAATCACACCAGATGAACAGATATAGATTTAAAAAAACCCAAGTGATTTATCTTCTGAAATGAAAATACCTCGAAAAATAAAATTAAGATATGTATAGAAATAATTAATTTGTGATTTACAGGTTATTTAATAAGTACTATAAGGTTAAATGTAGACTGTTTACTCTTTTTATACCTACACAGGATGTAGTCTCACCAGAGTATCTGACTGAAACCTCAGTGTGGTTTGCCACGTACATAAGATCCTGTAAAACCATGCAAAAATTATAAGGTTTTCTGTTGAGTAATAATCTAACTTACGACAGGAAACTGCTAGTGATGGGTGTGCTCTCTGAGTTTTCATCTGCTCTGAGGGTGGACTGGGGCCTCCTGAGGTCCAGGGAGCCGGACAGGTCGACTGAACCCGAGTACAAATCAGTGTCCTCCACAAGGATGGAGATGGGTACAGACAGGCTGCGTTGATAGTCAGCTGCAAAACCCAGCGAGATTGTGGTTAGATATGAGTGTTAAAAATCTCTGACATTTACCAGGTTTCATAAAAACACCTTTCGTAACAGGTGCAGTAACAACAGAGGCTTTTGTAATGTAAATAGTTAATATAAACTGGTTGATGAAAACCAACAACATATATGAGAAAAAAAGAACAGTATGTGTCAGTATAGGCTTAAGTGTACTGAAGCTTTACCAGAAGAAATGAAGTCTTTAGGTTGTGATTCCTGCAGGGCCTTGGTCTTCTTCTTGGGGGATGACCTGAGGAAGGTGTCCTTCAGCAGCTGTGCGGCTGTGGCTCTGTCGTCTGGGTTTGGCACGAAACAGGTAATTATGAAGCCCTTGGCCTCATCTGACATGCACTCTGGAACCTTGGGGTGGATCTTAAACATGCCCACCTTGATGGGATTGTTTAAAGGTTACTAACAGAGCTAGAAGAAGTTTATATCATTTAAATCTGTGTTTAAAGTGTTAATTTAAACAACTTTAACTTTGGATTGTGTGTTATGAAAGAGAAAAGATGGAAGTTAGCACTTAACAATATGGAACACAGATTTAGGTACAATAGCGCGTTAAGCTTAAAGCTTTAGTGTGTAAGTTTTAGTGGCATCTAGTCTAGTGGTGAGGGTTGCGAATTGCGTGTGTTTTGTTCTGTATGTCTTTATGTCCCATGTACATATTATTTCTCTTTATGCAATAAAGATTTAAGGAGGAAAAAAATATTCTGATTATTGCGACACTACATGAATCAATGACCATGAGTCACCCCTCCCTTTACAAGCGCCCAGGAGAAGCTACAGTGGCTGACACGCTCCGTCAGCTCTTGTGCTAAATAATACGTGTGGGCCTCCATTTATCCAAATTTGTCTTCTTTCTTACTTCTAATAAACCAGTCTACTACTACTACTACTACTACTAGCTCTTTGTAAATATTTAAGGTAGTGATGAAATGCACTGTTTAGTGCCGTTTGTCTGTTTGGGCTACTGTAGAAACATAGCAGCGCAACATGGCGACGTCCATGTAAGAGGATGCGCGGTGTATGTAGATAGAAATGTGTCATTCTAAGGTAATAAAAACATAACGGTTCATTATGTAAGGTCTTTACACACCACTGAAAACATAATCATGGATATTATATTGCATTTCTGTCAACAGATCCTCTTCAATATTACACACTGAACTTTTAAAGCTAACATCAACATGATAACATACTCACAATAACAATGCTAACATGCTAATGTTTACCATGGTAACGTTCTTAGTTTGATGTGTTAACATTTGCTAATTATCACTAAACACAGTACAGTTGATGTGTTTGGGAATGTCATTAGTTTTGCAGATTACATTTACCTTACATTTACTCATTTGGCAGATGCTTTTATCCAAAGCAACTTACATTTGAGGAACAACATACAATCATCAACAGAGCATCAGCAATAAATTCTAGTAAGCGCTAATGGCACATATGGGGTCAATAACTAGGGAAAGAAGTTAGAGTTAACAAAAAGTGCAATTAATACAAAATAATTGTAGGGGATAGAAAAAGAGCACAGGAAGTGCATGTTAGATGTTATGAGTTAGAGGTGTTATAAGAGGGAGTGTTCTTGGAAGAGATGAGTTTTCAAGATTTTCTTAAAGTTAGAGAGGGACGCCCCTGCTCTGACGGCATGTGGCAGCTCGTTCCACCATCGTGGTGTCACAGATGAGAACAGCTGGGACTGGGAATGCTTTGTGTGAAGGGATGGCAGAGCCAGGCGGCGTTCGTTGGAGGAGCGTAGTGGCCGAGAAGGAACGGAAACTTGTATTATGGATTTTAGGTAGATGGGTGCAGACCCAGTAGTCACTCTGTATGCAAGCATTAGTGACTTGAATCGGATTCTGGAGGCCATGGGGAGCCAGTGGAGGTCACACAGCAATGGAGTGACATGCATCCGTGTGGGCTGATCAAAAACCAGACGCGCTGCTGCATTCTGAAACATTTGTAAGGGTTTCACCACACAAGGTGGAAGAACCGCTAGGAGGGCATTGCAATAGTCGAGCCGAGAGATAACCATGGCCTGTACCAGAAGCTGGGTGACATATTGAGTCAGGTAGGGCCTGATTTTTCTGATCTTATATAGAGCAAAGCTGCATGACCGAGAGACAGCAGCAAAAGGACTGAAAAGGACAGCTGGTCATCAATCATGACACCCAAATTTCTCACCACCCTGGTTGGAGTGATGGTTTAGGAGCCAATTTGTAGTTTGATGTTATGGTGGATACATTGCTTGGCTGGAATGACCAAGAGTTCAGTCTTAGAGAGGTTTAGCTGAAGTTGGCAAGCCTTCATCCATGCAGATTTGGCCGAGAGACAGCGGGGTCGTCTGGCGGGAAGGATGGGGAAGAGTTGCGTATCGTCTGCATAGCAGTGGTAAGAGAAGCCGTTTGAGCGAATGAGAAGCCGTTTGAGCGAACCACCAGTGAGGTGGTGTAAATTGAGAAGAGAAGGGGCCCTAGCACTGAGCCTTGGGGTACCCCATGTGGAGAGGCAGTGGGAGGAGGATAATTGTCCTTGCTACAAAACATTGTAGGAACGCCCTGAGAGGTAGAATTCGAACCACAGTAGTGCTTTACCCGAGATGCCCATTGCTGAGAGTGCGGATAGGAGGATCATGTGACTGACTTTGTCAAAGGCAGCTGATAGGTCAAGCACGATAAGAACAAAGGATTGGACTGCAGCTTTAGCTGACCTTAGGGCTTCTGTTACAGATATTTGGTAAAAATATTTTTTAACAGACAAAATTTTTTTGGATCTGATGATGGCACTAGATCCACAGTGTCATTAAAATTCATCCCGAGGCGACTGTACAATATTTTATTGCAATCTATCCAATAGTTATTAAGGTATTTCACTCCAAACCCATAGTGACTTTTGATTTTTCAAAACCCAACTGATAATATTTTATTTAGAACTTTCCTTTTATGAAAACCCCACTATCTGCATATACATTATTAACATACATAAAATACAAGTTTCCTTATTTACCTTGAACATGGCTGCCTGAGGACTTCCCAGCTCATGGAATGGTGGTTTGCCTGTTGCCATTTCTATAATAGTGCACCCCAGGGACCAGATATCAGCCGGCTTCCCATAACCCCGAGGTCCTTGGTCTATAATCTCTGGGGCCATGTACTGGAGAGTTCCTATTAAAAAAATCATAAAAGTGATTAAAATGCAACTATAGTTATTAGTTACTAGAAAAAGTACAGTATATTCTTATAATGCAGGGCAATATGTAAATGGGGAACACTGTATCAAAGTGTGTGAAACAATACTGAGTCATAAATGTTTTGAAATTCACAGCATCTTACCAGTAAATGTCTCAGTACATGGGTTGATCCCTGCTAATCGTTTGGAGGTTCCAAAGTCAGAGATCTTCAACACTCCACTATAAGTGTTAATCAGTACATTGTCACCCTGCAGCAAAGACAAATGACCTACACTGAGATGTTTCACAAACACTACAGCCTTTTACCATAAAACTAGTATGAAATTATTCTAGAAAGTGAAATAAGTATTAAGGGTGCTCTGATCAGGATTTTTGTAGCCGCTAAATAGAAGCAGTATCAACTGATACAGATCGCAGTTCACGGGGTCTATTTGAAGCCTTGCATTATTTATTTATTGATCTATTCTTAATAACATTATATATTCAGTATTAGATGAGACAGTATCATGAATTGACAACTGTTATTTATTGGCAGACAACATATGCAACATATTCATTGCATTTCACCGTTTCTCTTAGAGACCCAATTTAAATCAATGCAGCCTGTGCTTGGTCATTGGAAGCAGTTTATAGCTTAACAAATATTTTTTTTTTTTATTATTTATTTGCCACAAAATTACAGTGTAACATTTATTCTACTATTATCCACCTTATTTTAGTGTTTACTCACGAACTACTTTAATCTGTTCACCTTGCTTTTCCCAACAGTTCTCTTTCCTCACACCTACACCTGTCTCTTACTGCAAACACACGTCTTACTTCCCTCTCCTTGTATGTGTCTGCTCTGTTACAAGGTATGAGGTAGATTTATTTCACACAATACAACAGGTTGTAGAGTGAAAGTGAGTGTGTAACTCCCTTTTGCTGTGTAGCAGACAATATACATTTATATTATTATACTGTATTATTAGCCTACAAGCAATTATAAAAATTGTCAACAGAAATCAACTATAATCAATGGAGCAGTGCTGAGGATGAATTTGAGTTTAAAAGGCTGAAAGCATGGGGGGGAAAGCTGCTCTGCAGTCTGGTGGTGCAGCAGCAGAAACTTTTACATCTCTTCCCAGAAGGCAGCAGGGTGAACACGCTGTGGCTGTTTTAGTATCCTTTAAGCTCTGCGCAGACACCTCACCTCACCGATATCACTGATGCTGGGGAGATGGACCGATGATCTTCTAAGCAGTTTTAATCAATGCTGCAGAGCCCTCCGGTCCTGGGTTGTGCACATGCCATGCCAGAGAAATACAGTAGTTTTTTAGCTTTCTTCACCAGCGTGGAGATGTGAGACGACCATGTCAGGTTCTCTGTGATGCTGATTCCCAGGAACCTGAAACTGTTCACCTGCTACACCTCTGCTCCACTGATGTAGAGAGAAGTGTGCGTCTTTGTCTCCTTTTTCCTAAAATTAACGATGAGCTCCTTAGTTTTGCTGAGGTTGAGCAGTAGGTTGTTCTCTGTGTACCACTCTGCAAGATTATCAGTTTCCTCCTGATATGAAGTCTCATCGTTGTTTGAAATCCGGCAGATGATGATGGTGTCATCCACAAACCTCACAAAAGAGTTCTCTCAATTTCTGGGGATACAGTCGTCAGTGTTTCCCACACATTCACTTTACTTCGGCAGCCTGCCCAGGTTAGGCCACCCATTGTAGCATTTACCAGAGAAACACAGAGTGATTACGTTAAAAGTAGCGACACGGTGGATATTTTACAAGAGCGGACCAGGTAAAGCGACAGTGAACACACCAGTCAGATGTCATTCGTTAGTTACCACGTTGGTTTTGTTTTGATAGGCTACGTCATCAACACGCCTCCTCAACATGCAGCTCAGCTGCTGCTGTGAACGGAGTCGTGGGTGGAAGAGTCCAGAAGACCAGATCTGTTTTTTACAGCAACTTTATACAACGTAGACTACTACTGATGGAGAAAGTCACCAGAGCAGATATACAGGGAGAGACGGATGGAAAGAAGCGGGGCACGCTGATATGTTTGCAGCAGTGGTACGTTAGGTCTGTGCGTGTGAAGAGAACTGAAGGAGGCAGATTCAATAAGTGAGTGACACTTAAGATGGAAAATCTAAATGTAAAATTAAAATGGAGAAATAAGAAAAAAGTTAAGTTACTACAAATAGTAAAAACATGGCCACTAAAACAGACCCCCTCCCCTCCAGCCCCACTTATCAGAAAATACAGTACCGGGATATGACTTTTTGGTCCATATCGCCCAGCCCTAACTGGGGTCTGTTTGTGAGGAAACAGTTGCAGAGTGTTGTATTTAAACCCAGAGTGCTGAGTTTGCCAACCAGTTTCATGGGGTCGATTGTGTTGAATGCGGAGCTGAAATCCACAAACAGCATTCTGATGTAGGTGTTGTTTTACTCAAGGTGTGTGAGAGCTGAGTGGAGGGAAGTGGAGATGGCATCCTCTGTGGATCTGTTGGTTCTGAAAGTAACTGGTGAGAGTCCACTTTCTTTATTAACAGCGTCATCTAATCGACCTTCTCAGGGACCACCAATGAAACTATTTGGAATGAACATCGGCCAATAACAATTGGTGGCCGATCAATAGTTGCACCAGACCCTTAATAATTATTTGCCGCCCCTTTGTCCCTAGGGTGCCCTACTCACCTTAATGTCTCTGTGGACTATCTGATTGTCATGAAGGTATTTGAGCCCCTCAAGGATCTGTTTGGTGTAGAAGATGATGGTGGCTTCGTTATCTTTCAGAGGACCCCATTTGGAGCGCAGGAGAGATGACAAACTTCCTACAAGCAGGAATGGAAAATGATATGAGCCAGTTCATTTTTAAGAACATAATTCTGCAGTGGAAATGTTTATGAAAGCAGAGATGTGAACGAAACATAATGTCTACTGTTAGTATGACACTGGAAAATAAGTAATTTCTCAACATTTTCTCAGCTAAATCTGGCACTATCAAACCAAGATATAGATTGAAATCGTTCACATATCTTCAAATGTTTTTTCTGACAATCACGGCATTGTCTGAAGAGATTTTTCTCCATTGAACCGGGCGTCTTTGGAACCACCCACTTTCTTAAACTGAGTGCCAGATGTTACAGAATTGCACTTACAAATCTGAACACAAGACAGACACTGACTTCCTTTCGGCTTAATAAAGGCACCATCCTGTAACTAAGCCACAGTAATTTGCAGAATTGAAAGCAGAGGCAGAGCTTGTGTTGGCACTTCCAAAGAACCAAGGCATGACTTGTGTTTTTTTTCCCAAGTGAAAGTTTCTAAGAATATTATGTATGTATAATTATTACAACATTTTATAGATAGATAGATAGATAGATAGATAGATAGATAGATAGATAGATAGAGTACACACACACACACACACAATACAGTGTTGTGAACATACAGTGTGGATTTGTGCATTTTATATCAAATAATTTGGAGACTCCTCCTTCTCTCTCTCTCTATGAGAGAAGGTGGAGGGAGTTTGACATATCAACCCTCAACAGACAGCTGAACCGACTCCAAGGAGGAGGTGAAAGGCTTACTTTTCCTAAGTGCTGTTTCTGGGCAGTTTGATCATAAAACTTGCCACCTCTGATGCCTCAGCCAGATAACCCTTGGTGCCTGACTGTTAAAATGACAAAGAAACACTAACCAGAAATTACAAATAGCCTATCAAAACTCTTTTGGAAAGAGGGCAGGAAACTCTAAACTGCCCCCCATGCACGTAACCACCCTCTTTGTTTAATTACCTCACAAAGGATATTCTCCTCTTCACAACCAGTTGTAAATTCGTGAGGAACTCCAGGACACCTGAAAGACAGCCCTGAACTCTTTGTGTAAACAAAGAGTACTGTCTCCTCTAAACTCAAAGCATTACCTTGTTTAATTAAATAATTTTTTAGTTACTTGACTAGGTCTCTCCACTCCATTTGAGTAGTTATGTTACCATGTTGGTGTTATTTGTTGTTGAAAAGAATCTAAATAAGTTAATTTTGCAGCAAGGACCTTTCTTTATTTTATGTTGTAACCAATGCTTTGTTCCCAACACTTTCTGACACTTCCTTTAGAAAGGATATGATAAAGAAATGTCATCCTATACTCCAGCTGAAATTTAAGGTTAAATGACTAAATTCCCTAGCTCCTGAGCAGAAGGTTGTTTTACGGTTAATCAAAGCTATTGTCATGTAACCCGAGCTCCCCCAAGTGGACAAAATAAGTATTACATGCCATCGTCTGAAATGCCGTATAATGTATAAATGTCACTCTGTATTTATCTTGTCCATAATCTGATGCCATTCGTGTATCTTGCATATATTCTCTAAGAACGTGTAACAGCCAATATATCCAGTTCCTCTCATCTGAGGATTTTCTGAAAGGCTAACCTTAAGGTTGAATGTTTTCCTTTTTATCAAATGCTTAAAACTAACAACGGTATACCCGTTTGACAATTAAGGTTTGATTGTGGGAGGATATTTGATTACAATATGCACAAATTGATTTTTGATTAGACATATTAATAGTTAAAGACAAGACGGTCCCTCAGGAAACTGGAAACAAGCCCTCCCTCAGGGGAACAAAGGACTGCCCTCTGGGAACCGCGCCCCAACAGACAAAAGCAGCGAAGGCCCTTTGTTCGCTTTCAAGCCACACATGCAAAGCGCTGTGACCGCGATATTTCCCTCGTTTCCAGCAACTTGCTTGCTTTTATTTTGTTTGTTAAATCAGACCGTTAAGTTACACTTGTTTAATTCAAGAACGACCAACTTCTTTTTAAGCTTTATTCGTCGAGCTTACTTACACCGATCCTCGACGCCCGGGGCAACCACGTGACTGAAGTCAAGCCAGCCCCCACTTCGAAAACGACAGTCAAGCCAGCCCTCGCGCTGTTTTGCGATGCGTGTTTTTTCTAAGCATTACGGTAACATCGTGTCGCAGCACATTTCAAAATAAAAGTGAGCTTCTGCTGAACATAATGCAATTGATGTGGCAGACACGAATGAATAAATAAATAAATGCTTAAGACACCACAAGTATCTAAAGAAAATATTACATTCTCACAGAAAGCTTACAACATTCAGCCAAGATTCGAACTCATGTAAAAAGAAAACCTGTTTCCACTAACTCATTTCACTTCAAAGTGACAGCAGAACACCTCAGGGTGACAATTTGTCAATATCAGAGCAATCTGATGTAGTTATTTGAAATTACAGCCCTTGAAAATGTCTATTTTCACTGATTTTGCTGATTTCAAATTGATGTTAAAAGAAAACGTCCTGTTTCCACTGACTCATTTCACTTCACAGTGACAGCAGAACACCTCAGGGTGATCCTTTGTCAATATCAGAGCAATCTGATGTAGTTTTTTAAAAGTTACATCCCTTGAAAGTGTGAATGAATCTTGGCGAATAGCGAAAATATTACACACTTTCATTTATTTATTCAATCGTTTCTGCCACATCAATTGCATTATGTTCAGCAGAAGCTCACTTTTATTTTGAAATGTGCTGCGACACGATGTTACCGTAATGCCTAGAAAAAACACGCATCGCAAAACAGCGCGAGGGCTGGCTTGACTGTCGTTTTCGAAGTGGAGGCTGGCTTGACTTCAGTACCACGTGGGCCCGCCAGCCGCAACAAAGGACGAACAAACCTCTGACACGAGCCACTCTGGTCAGTGATGTATATATAATAGTCTGTTAATCCATTATCTTTAGTCCTTAAAACTCATAGCTTGCGTTCATTAGCTGCCCGTGTGAATCAAATTCTCCCCACAATAGAACCCCACATTCTCATTGTTTAGCCATTGTTTATTTGTTCGATTTGTATTTAGCCGCATTTATGGCACCTTAGTTAGTTAATAAATTTCACTGTAATCAAAGGAATTGTGTGTGTGTTGCCTAACTCCAAGTCCCTGTCATGAGAATTTACCCCTCGATATGAGACTGAGTGACTGATTTAAGATAATTAAGTGATTGTTAACTAACTGATCACTAGTGAATAATTGTATAATTATTAACCATACCCAGGGAATCTGAACAGTGAACGGAATCTCTGGTGGTGCCCCGCGAGATTTATGAATTAATATACTCTGAATATTAAAATTCATAAGTGTATTAATTCTCTTAAGTTTATTAAAATATAAGTAGAAATGCTACAACAGTGTGTGTGTGTTGATTTGGCTAAGGTTGTCCAGTAACTGCTCTTTGAAACTATTAAGTTAAAATTTTAGGATTCATACCTCCAGGTACTTCCTCCATGAAGATCTTGATGAAACCATCCTGGCTGACAGAGCCCAGATACTGGACAATATTTCTGTGTTTTAGCCTCTTGTGCAGAGCGATCTCCTCATGGAGGGGCTGTGAGTATCTGAGGAAGAGGAATAAAAGAGTTAGAGGTTTTGGGCAATTATACAACCCCTATGACAGTTCATTACATCAAAACATGTAGTAATCATATTGGATGGAGAAATACACACACAAAGAAACTCTACACACTGTAATCACAGGATATAACACTATGTCTAAAAAATCTGGATATATTAATATTGTGTCAGTCAAATAATGTTTATTTTCAAAACCTTAATGAGTGGGTAGAAAAATGTAGAAGGGTTGAACAATGATAAGGTTTGTTTTAAGTTACATAGTCAAGATGAGTCTATTGCCTAAACTTAAACTTTACAAACTTGAACCCACACAGTTTTTTCCTGTCTCTCTCCGTCTCGCTTCAGTTTACTAGTTTTACATTTGGATCATCACTACACACCGACTAATTTGACACAAATAAGAAGAGTGACATGAGATAAAAACTGTGCTGTGGGTGTGTGTTACATTTACTCATTTAGCTGACGTGTTTATCCAACGCGAAGTCTACACATTCATCCATCTCCCCCAAGATCCCCAAAGAGCAAAAGCATGTCAGCGAAATCTATCTCTGCCAAATCTTTTCCCATCAGGTACTACAGAGTGAAGCGGAGTCTCTCGAAAACTGAAAGAAAAACGGTGAGTGTTGGTTTCTCATACGTGCTGTCCTTCTCAGGGATTTCCTTGATAGCGATGCGTACTTGGTTGCTCAGGTCCCTCCCAGCATACACCACACCGTACGTCCCTTTACCAAGAACCACCTTGTCGCCATTCTCATTGGTCTCATAGATGAACTGTAGAAAGAAACAAAGACAGCATGAATGAGAAAGCAGTGACCGAAATTAGTAGCATCAGAGGACTTGTAAGCAATTTCACAAGCAACCACAAGTTGCAGTAGAGTGAGAGATGATTCTTCTTCTGAGACGAGTCTGGAATTCAGACAGTTAAAATTAATGTAAAATATGAATATGAATATGAATGTATTTATTTAATTTACACAAACAGACACTGCACACAATGCCCAAGTACATGGAAAACGTGGCACTGTGTCACGGGAATATTGTGCGAGACATAAAATAGAGCACATACTGTGTCAGGGGAATGAAGGACTGTGACTGACCTCTGGTATTTCCTCAGTTAGACAGTCCAGGTCCTGAGCAGGGTCTTCTTCCTGCTGAATCAGAGAGTTTACCAGCTCGCAGAAACTAGTGAGAGAACAGTGTGAGAAGATGTTATGTAGTTAAGAATATGCTGATATTAGAGCATGTGGTTAAATAAAGTTTCAGTGAATATCAGTTCAAGTAATGTGAATACCAACATTAGACGTGCCTGCAGACTATTGCCAAAGAATGTACCCATAAAAGGCAAACCCCAGTACGTTCAACTTGCTTAATAGAATCAAGAGACTTCACTGTGGCGTTCTTTACTAGAAGTGCAGAACAATTTTTTTTAATAGTTGGTCCCCATTTTGTTTATCTAGTGCACACGAAGACAAACATGCACAGGTGTGAGCATGTGGCAGACAAGATACACAGTCCTGTCATGGTAATGCACAAATAAACATAGCATTGCATCAACAATGGCTGTGAAAAAGAAGACTACTAGCAACAAAACTTGAACGTAGCTTCTGTGTTTTTCAACCTGGACCTTATTTTCCCATGTTTTTGTGTCTCTGTGACTAATTGGGGCAACCTTTTTTAAAATTGGTCCAGTATTGAGAAAGCACAGCAGCGAGAGGGCTGCAACGTAATCCTTGTGGGCAACTGCGCACCGTCAAAGGACGTCAACTAAAGTGCTTTTTTTGCCACCGACGGGCTCAGATTGTTATTCTTAGTGTGTCTGACAACATTATGTAAAGGATCCCTACACAAATGTCTTTAAAAAAAAAAAAAAAAAAAGAGTAAGATCCTTTGTGTTTAACCAGAAACAATTGCTTTATATCTCCCGTCAAAGCCAACAGACTCCGTTGACAAAAATAGTTACCTCTCTAGTCTACTGCTGTCTCGTTTGTAAAAAAAAAAAAAAAAAAAAAAAAACACAACAAAGTAACACAACACAAACAAACTAATCGAAGCTACCGAAGCAGCAGTAGACCAGCAACCGACTCCCATGTTCTGCAAGGTAAAATTACTGCTTTTATCAATGGAGTCTGGTGGCTTTGACGAGAGCAAAATAGTGGCTGTTTCTGGTTAAATAAGAAGGATCTTACTCATTAAAACAGGTCTATCTGTGTAGGGATCATTTATACAATGTTGTCAGACACTTCTCATAACCTCCCTCTCAGTGGAATTTGGATATACTCTGAGGGGGTGCAATTGCCCGCTAGGATTACGCTGCAGTCCGGTTTTGCTGCTGCAGACTGCAGCATGCTCACTCAATACTGGATCAATGTTTAAAAAAATGTTGTCCTAATTAGTCACATTGACAGAAAAACATGTGAAAATAAGGTTCAGGTTGAAAAATACATAAGTTACCCTTTAATTAGAGTGAAAAGGGGGAATACCTACAAGGCAACAAAGAAAATATGACTCATACAGTGAAACATCACAGTACTTTCTCCAGGCCACTGACTAGACTGTGAAGCTATTTGTTTGCCTATTTGTCTGTCAACCTCTAATTATCTTCTTGCACCCTGTTGTGATGGTGTGTTCATCTTTATCTAGCCAGTCAGTTAGTCAGTGAGCAAATAATTTGTACTTCCTCACACACACACACACACACACACACACACACACACACACACTCTGCCCCGCTGTATCTTTGCTAATTTTTTAGTCACTCACCCTTTACAGTGAGCCTCAGAAGGGAAGCAGAGCTGGAAGACATCCGAGTTGTAGAGGACATACAGGAAGCAGTCCCGCTCATCAATCTTTGAAACACTTTGGGGAGAAAAAAGAATAAGTGGGGTGGGAGGTGGGTTGATTAGTTCAGTAATTGAAAAAAGCTGTTTTCAATTTCCCCAAACATAGTATAATCTGATAAAGTTGTTTGCTGTTTTAAGTGACCAGTTGCTGACTGTTGTGGGTATTTTCCCAAGTGGCAAATCAACAGGCCAGACAAGGCTAAAGTAGACAGCAACACTGATCAGTAGCCAAAGAGGAATCAACAAATATCTGACAAACCAACGAGCTAAGCCTGAAACCATATTGACAGAAACAAAATCTGACTGACAGCCAAGGTTTCCCAGGCAAACTGTATGTTTTGGGCCCTCTCTCTTTTCTGCAGGCTTGATCACGCCCGCAAGCGAGAGCAGCTATTTGAGAGATGTTAGCACATGTTGTACTCCACTTTACCTCACTCCCCGAATTTCAGACGCTGGGAAAGTCCACTGGTGTAAGCCTTTCTGTAGAATGAAGAATGAAGTTAAAACACTATTATTACTAATACGCAGTGCATTACACACGGGAGAGAAGCTTTCATTTGCATGCGTGTATAAATGCAAGAGAGAGAAAGTCAGTACCTGAGGTATGACACTCAAAGAACACACCCACACACTCACCTGATTAAACATTCACCAGATTATATATCAGTGTTAGAAAAGTTGGTTCTTCTTTGTATTACGCAAATCTGCATTCTGTATGCATGACAGTTACTCAGAAACATGTATTCAGATAAGAAGGTAGCTCTGGGTTGGGGGGGATTGAGGGTCTTCTTACCGTTAAGGGTACAATGTGTTTCAACTGGACAGTGCGACTTTCGTCCTCCTCGCTCACACTCACAATGGCTGGTTGGAGGACTTTACTGGGCTCCAGAATGAGTACCTGAAAAGTAGCAATTCAAAATTCAATTACTAATATTTTATAATAGCCACTTTTATTTATCATAGGGGTGAAAATGGTTGTTCATCATTTCCTGACAATATCCCTCCAAATTTGAACAGTATTACAATATTGCATGTTAACCTTAAAATTATAATGGACAGAGCTTGGTCCCAGTTAATGGATACTAACGTCCAGAGTTACTGTTAGTGTTAATGTTGTCAGTGTCGTCTTACTGGGCAGCGGCTTGTACAGTCAGTGGGTTTACAGCTCTGCAAAAGTAGCTCCATCCAGAAATCCACTGTGTCCTGTTTAGGAGATTTCACCTCAGGTGGCTTGGCAACTTGACGGTACAGGATGTACGTCTCCATGATGGACGACATAAACCTGAAAGAAACACACTAAAATCATTAATCCACATTAAATTAATATGGAAATAAGCCTTTAAACCCTCTAAATGCTATCTAATCCACAGGGGTTTAAGATGTTTTTTAACAAACCAATCAAATTAAACTAATAAGCCCTACAATCTGAAGCTTGATGATCACACACTCTGATTTGCAATATTACAAATAATCAAGAACTGGGGCTTAAGCCTCACCAGGTAGGGGCCTTGAGCCTGTAGAGTTTGTCAGAGGCCTCGATGACTTTCCTATGTTCGTTAGCGAGGATGTTTGCTCCAAGGTAGAAGCCGACATCCCAGTAATCCTTCATCTTCTCCAAACTTCCCTTTCTACCTAGTAGGGTGCTTAGAGTCACACCTAAACACCAACATAATAACACAGAACAAAACAATTCATTAACAAATTCACATAAAAAAAAATCACTGCTGTATTTTCAAACTAATAGGCTAATCGATGCATCGATATATGATGGTCCTATGCATAGCTATAAGCTCATTATTCTTCCAGGGTGCTGCAGCTCACTGGTACATCATAAACTTGTATATTGTATCCAAATGATCAAAGAAGGTATTTGGAATTGATTCTCTCTGATAAAGAAAGCATTAAGCACCAATTTTGCGCAGCTCAATAGAAGTTTCAAATTCATGGCCAGCTGCCATCAGGAGGACCACGTTGTTGATGCCTGAGTGAAGAGTTGGCTCTGTCTCAAAAGCTTTTCCATACCTTTCAAATAACATAGAAAAACAACACTGATGAGTTATAATAGTAGAATCAGAATAATAATGATGCTGCAAACACGTACAAGCAAACACATACAAGCAGCAACAATCAAAAAAGAAGGTAATTATTAAACTGCTTAAAAGTTAGTTATCAAGCATCATAGTCCTAATTTCAGTGTGTAGGACTATATCCTAAGTGTCAGTCTTAGTGCTGATTCACGACACTTTGCTGTGCCGCAAACGAGATTTTGGATGACCAGATAGGCAAGGACCAATCACTGAATAGATTTCCTTATTTAAGAATATTCTTAGATAAATTCACATCGAATGCTGAAATTCCTAAGAGGTGTTTACATTCAACACAAATTTGATAATTAAGAATTTTTAAGAGAATACATTATGTACATAGGTTATGGAAACATTGGAAATGAAAGATAAAAAAGTTGATCTTTATGAGTGTCATCAGTTGCACCTACTACTCCCGGGAAGCTGTTTTTTTTAATGAATTGTGTTTGCTTCTGTCGGATTACTTGTTGGGAAGTTGATGAAACGCGTGACAATGTGTGGAGCTGTAAGTGCCATAATTTTTTCCATGACAATTCAGCTTATTGATGGTTGTGACAGGCCAAAATGGAAAGCGTCACCACAACCTTCGATTTAGCTGAAAACGTAATGCTGCGTAAAGTCAGATGACGTCCCTCACCATTTCGCTGACAAACACTATGCCTGCGCTGTCCAACTCCGCCTACGTGCATGTAGTCAAATAATTCAGAGACATTCTTCCTCTCCTGAAAGATCTGTGCATGTCTCTGTCTCCACGGTGCCATCACAAGCCCCTACCCCCATACCAATAGCAGGCCTGGTCTCTGCTGTGCTCATCAGTGAACCCAGAGCTCATGAACATGTCTTTGTAGATCCGTCCACACAGGCAGTAGACATCGGACGCCACCTCGCTCCCCGACTCCACCATAGGTAGAATTTTCTCCAAGGCCCTAATGCGATCTCCAGGGTTATTCCTCCTGATATGGGAAGATTGATGAGCTTTAACAAAACCCTTTATATTTTGTCTACACACAAGGCAAATAAATGGCCACATGTGGAGAATGGCACAAAAACAATAACTGAAACTAGACAATACATTGCAAATTAGTTTAATTACGTTTACGTGTAAAAACATCTGGGTACCTGTTTAGAGCAAATATATAATGAAACTTGATATTGTGATGTCCTGCTACCAAACACGTGGGCAGGTCGTCCAGAGTCTCCACCAGTTTGATTATGGCATCGTAGTCCTGAGAAAAGAGGATGCAGAAATACAACGTATTATTTACCATACTCTCATCTGATGACATTTAATCCCTTTTTTCTTTTACAACATTTAGAACTAATACTCATTTAAACCATAATGGTTGTTTTTGTTACTATTTACAACCACATGAAATACCTTTGTCTGCTTTCATAATGAAACATTTTCATGTAGATCCAAAGGCCTTTTTTAAATAAAACATAACAACAAAACAAAAACGCAACATTTTTAAGTTCTGGCAAAGTCAAGATTTGCAAGTTTATTTCTATAAACTTTTATTTTATTCTTTTTGCTCAAACAGAAAATTACATGTTATGCTCTGCAACCAATCAATTTCATAATATGAAAGATCACTGAAAGATGAATAAAGAAAATTATCATTGGCTGTAGCATATAACCTTTTATACACTGCTTGTAAAGGCATTTACTCACTTGCACACAAATGCATCAACACAAACCTGAATGTCCCTGTAGGACAACAGCAGGTTCATGACTATGTCAGGGGTGAGCAGCTCTACACTGTCCAGGCGTTTCTGGATGCGGCCCAACTCCTCACTCAGGGCTTGGCCGCTGAACCGCTCCCGTGCCATACGAATCTCATGCCTGATTGACTCCCGGAAGTACTCACTGTTAGCATAACAAAGAGGGGGGGGGGTTACAGCATTAGCAAATGCACTTGTAATCTGAGATGATGATAATGTTTTTGGCAAAAGATGAGATGGTGAAAACAGCCCTGCAGCGTATGCCTGACCTGGACTGAATGTGTACATTGTTCAGCAGATGCACCAGTCTCTCCACTAGCAGAGTCAACAGGGGCTCCAGCTGGAAACTAGGCTGCATCAGCTCCTTGATACCAGCCATCATTGCAGCATCACAGGCAAACGCTTTGCCCTGAGGTGACACCACGTAAGGGATGAACGTGTAACTTCCACACTGCTCCTGAAGGAAGACAATGCATGAGGCATACAGGGACAAATTCACAATGGGAGATCTTGAATGGCCTCAATGCACCTGAGACATCACCTGCCAGTTGGCAGTGTTTTGCTTTTACAACTTAATGTTTAATTTCAGTTAAAATCTTGGAAAAATACAATTGGTTTGCTCCAGATTTAAAATTACCTCTTCCCTTTAGCATAATACCTTTGGTTCTGGGAAATAGTGATGGGCATTTAGACCAATTGATTAGTCAACAAAATAATCAGTAGATTAATTGATAATGAAAATATACCCAAGACCTTATTTAACTATCACATTAATACTAATAAGCAGGGGTGTGTGTTACCTTGACAGCCTGTAGATCACTGTCTTGCTTGTAACAGTATAGGATTATGTTATTGGTCATGCTGAAGCTTTCTCTCACTCCAAGGTGATAGAAAAGTGAAGGCTGGCAGAAAGAATCACTCATCTCCACCACTGCTACATCTGTAAGGGAAATTTAACAGGGCGGGTCAGTTTGCGTAACTATAACTGCGTGTAGCCTATGTGCCATCGAAATTACTCCTCGGTCAGCATGTCTGCACTTGCCTGCGTTGTAGAAACTATCCAGGATATCTGTGGCGCCTAAGGCTACTCTCTCAAACGAAATGGTTTTGAAAACGGCGTGTGCGTCCGCGCAGGCTTCGTTCAGACATTTCAGGGATACGTTCTCCTCAGTCTGTGGCACTGATGCGTCCCCGTTGACTACGTATGCCACGGATAGCGCTCTGGTCCGACTCCGCGGAGAAACGATCTGTTTACCGGAGCCGCTGGCGCTCAGGTCTGTTGGCAAAGAGTCCTGCCACAAACTTTCAACGGACACCCAAACTGGGTCTTTCCTCTTCAGTCCGTGCAGGCTCATTCGCCTGCGCTCTGTCGTGTACATTTTCTGTCTGCTTTATTTATTCCGCTGCTGAAACTCGATGCATGTCCTTCGAAGCAACCGCGTGGTTGCTTACGATTCCCCAGGTGTGTCGCCGTCTCCGCCCACACCACATATTCACCAACATTCCCGATACTCCTGTCCACCCGCCCTCCTCCCCTCCACTGCCCCGCCCGCTGACATTTTCAGAGTGAAACTGCTTGCCACACAGCCTCGACTCTCGCGTGACCTCTGCTGTGGAAAACTGTTATTTAGCGATTACATTTCCAGAAAAAACTGACGTGGTAAATCCCCTTTGTTTGTTCTGTGGAATTCTGTCTTCCTGCATGAGGAGGACAAAGAAACAAAAAGTAGACATACAGAAAATAACATGTTTAAAGGAAAGAGTACAATAAAGGATTACTTTCAATGCACACATGCTTTTTAATTTCAATGTCTGATCATTTGTAGTAGAAAAAATTAAAATCACCACACACACACACATAATACACCACGATGGTGAGCTGCCACATGCCATCAGAGCAGGGGCGTCCCTCTCTAACTTCAAGAAGCTCTTGAAAACTCATCTCTTCCTAGAACGCTTCCTCTTATAACACCTCTAACTCCTAACATGCACTTCATGTGCTCTTCTTCTATCCCCTACAATTATCTTGTATTGATTGCACTTTTTGTTAACCAACTTCTTCCCCCAAAAAAGTATTTACCCCATTGATGTGATATGTGCCATTAGCGCTTACTAGTACTTATTGCTGCTTTTATTAATATGTATTGTCAGTTGTAGATCTCGTGCTATATTTGATGCTGTTGATGATTATATGTTCCTTAAATGTAAGTCACTTTGGATAAATGCGTCTGCCAAATGAGTAAATGTAACGTACACAGCTTTGATGAGGCATCTACATTAAAACTCTTGAGACAATCCACATTTTTTCTGTCTTTATTTACAGTACATACAAGGAAACTTACTATGAATGCTGTGGGCTTCAGAATAGATGAAAATGAAAAAGGGGAATTCTAAATACACACAGCATTGGTGCAAGGAAAACACAACTGCATCAACTATTATCCCTGCACTACAAAGCGAAAAAGGCAATATAATTACAAACTGTAGGTCTGTAATGTTTGACTCTGAAGATAAGCTATGCTTATTAAAAGTGAATGTAGAGTTCACATTCCACGTATCATGTACATATAAAGCCCAGACATAGTGCTGTGATCCAAAAATATATAATTAGCCATTGTACTTGGCACCAAGCACATTTTATTGGGAGCGCTGTCAGATGTGAGATCAGTCATGCATCATTACACAAACAACCTGAGAAAAGGAAGTCTTCTTTGAGACAGTTGTGGCAGGTTTAAGCAGTAGTTCAGTTATTACAGAATATACAACCCAGCATTGTTCCATTATTTTAATAAATTCCCAAATGTTCTGTTCAATTAATTGTTCCATTCCCTGCAGAAACAGCTTTTTGATAAACATTGATGATGATGCTGTTATCTAACCTGAATGAACTTGGGCAATACAGTTTATGGGAACGATTTACTCGTCTAGGCCCTCGTCTTCCTCCTCCTCCCTGACGTCCACTTCGCTTGTGTCTGAGAACTCGTGCAGGAGGACATACTCGCGGCTGCTGAAGCCAAACTTGATAACGTCTTTTTCTTTGAGCTCGTAATAGCGCTGGGGTTCGATGCGCTGGTTGTTCAGGTAGGTGCCGTTGCCGGAACCCAGGTCAATGATGTAAGGCTTTACCCTGCGGCCGGCGGTGCCGTCTGCACGTGTAAACTCCACCAGTCTACAGAAATACAGTCAGAAAGGTAGACAGGCTTTAATCATACAGCAACAAAATCAGGTGTTATGCAACACGGAATCAAGGTTGTTTAAACTATACACAACATAGCTACATACCTATACTGGAATACTGCATGTTGCTTGGAGCAGGAAGGGTGGTCAATGGGGATATCAGCAATTTTTCTCTGCCGCCCCAATAAATAGGCACTCTGTCTGTGAATGTACATTACTGGAAGGGGTTCATCATTCTTGAAAGGGTACAATCGCCATCTGCGCTTGGGAATGCGAGCCTCGGGTGGCTCGTTGTACTTGATCACCACCCCCCGGAATGTGTTTGTATCTTCTGTTAGTGCCCCTGAGAGTTCAAAGTTGGGCTTCTCTTTATCAACAGGAGGGGCATTGGCGTCTTCACTGTCTCCTTCAGATGGTTCAAAATCCCGCTCTTGGTTTTCTTCACGCCGCTGACGGTTTTCCCTGCGCCGCTCATTGTGCTGCTGTCTCTCAGCTTGTTGGGAGGCAAGCGCGCCTCGTTCTCTGTGCCTGTTTTCGCCTCTGTCCCTCTCCCGCGGCCTGTCTGATTCCCACCTGCTCCGCCTCTCCTCTGGATGTTCATTTCTTCTCCTCCGCTCATCACCACTAGCCCGATGCTCCTCCCGCTCCTGTGAGATATTTGGTAAGAAGACAGTAAAAGAAAAAAAAAAAAGCTTATTTGCACAGGACAAACTCGCACAGTTGCAGTTTTGTACAAGCATTACCATTCTAGAGGTTATATTGTGCATATGTACTTATCTGGCATATGACACTAATGACCATATGACTAATGACCATACACCATTTAAAACATGGTAATTGTCAAAGTATTATACTTGCAGATAATTACCTCTTGTAGGCAGCTGTCACATGCTGATACCTTTGTGGCAGATTGCTAGGCGATCTGGGCCAAATAATGTTTCTGTACCTTTTATACAGTCTATGCTCTGTACATAGCAAGTACAGCCTGTCGGGCTCCGCCAGCAACCATTACATCTAAATGTATTTTGTTTTACAAAGGTGTTAAATGGCATGTTATGGTACCAACAATTTTTAACGCACAACACACCACTGGTTTGAACATTAGATGTCAATAGGCAATATAATACCAGTGTACAACTGGTGTGTACCAGTAAGAAGTGGGAACTGTCAATAGAACACAAGTACCATATGCCAGTCCAGCAGCAGCATGGTATGGTACAAACGATAAAAAGTGTCATATGCCTGTAAGAATCACTGCACGGGTGGGAAAGTGGTGTCTGATAAACGGTGGTTTAACGTTGTGCCAGGAAAAAGTGGTAAAACGACATGTTACTGAAACTGAATTACCCTATATCCACTGTTCGATCTAAGGACTGCAGTTGCTTCTTATAACGCTGTAAAGTTATTGCATCTTGTTAATTATTTAGAACCTAATCACCCGCTTTATTTTGGCATCAGCCCCACGAATGGGATTGGGACTGCGACTCCTCCTGTTTCTGGGTGATCTGCTGCCTCGCCTGGCGGGAGATGACTCTCTTCTAGCTGGTGAGCGGTCCCTCGTCCTGGCGGGTGACCTACACGTAGAAAACACAAAATCAGGTTCTTAAATTACTTTCAAAAGACATTACAAACTTCCAAAATATTGCCGTTTAAATGCAACTAACGTGGGCTGTAGCTGCGTTTGTTAAAGGCTAGCAGGCAAAACACGTTTTTTCGCTAAGCACTCACTAGCCAAACGTCTATGAAGGTAAAAAATAAAATAAAATAAAAGCGAAGTGATATTACAAGACATCGAAAATACCTGCTCGTTCTTCTCCTCTGTGGACTTGAGTTGCCGCTGGATCTCGACTTGGAGCGGCGTGATGTCTGTGGCCTAACAGGGCTCAGTGTCTCCTGCTTTACCTTAACTTTGGACTCCCGCTCCGGAGATTCCCTTCTCTTGTGTCGCTTTTCTTTGGTCATTCTAAAATATATAAACTAATTATACCGTTGTGTGACTAAACAAACATCGTCGTCCGCACACCTCATATAAACAAACAAAGACTCAACTCAAAACTGTAGTGATCACAAACTTCGACTGTTAAGCTCAGAACACGCACTTCCGGTTCCCGTGGTACGTCGAAAATGTGTGTCCGCAGGGTCGCGGCGCACCTTTTACTTTGGTTCTACCATGACTACGTTTCGCACTGTATATAAGAAAGGTTTCGCAATTAGGGTATCCTTAATAAAAATGACATTTTTTCTAATGAACAATTACCTTAAAAACTTCAAGACACATTGAAATGCGTAAAAATGACGCAAACTAAAATCACACCAAATGAAAAAACAGCAGTGCTTCAGGTGTTTCTTTTGTTGTATTGATTAAAATGTATTTAATGCAAGGGTCACTAAAAACCAACATATACGAACCGAACCTCTGATTGCACTCGATCAAAATAAAATGGAACGCCGGGACACTGTTGCCATGACAACGCAAACTGAGCACGAAGTTTTTGTCAACAACGCCGATAATCTTGTGGCTGAAGCCCCACACCAGCCAAGTGCATAGCTTATTATTTTCACAGTAAAACACAATGATTCCACCAGCCGAGTCTCTCCTGAAATACGACAATCCAGTTTTGGTCAGCAAAAGCACAGACAGAAAATCACCAAAGGTGAGTTAGTAAATTAGGCCTTAACGTCACCGCCACAGTTAACACTAACGTTAAATTACCTGGATTAAGTAGCAACGTTGGGTGGAGGATTTAAGTGGTGCATGGCAGTAAAGACAAACACTGGAAATACATAAAATAATATAATATATTGTTTACAAACCGGTGTGCACATGCTGATCTGTGACCTCAAAATGTTACAACTTTAACGCTAGTTTCCTCCCCTTTATTTAGCTGCTGTTTGTGTTTTGTTAAATTAATATGAGGTTAAAACTTTGCAGTCTCCAAAGAGTTTTCTGGACTATAATTTCTGTAGTAGTCACACTAACGACCTACATGTCCTGCTAAACTTGTGTGTTATGGAAACCCTTGACAAGTATGCTCTTATTTGGTATAGGCCTACTTGTTCTGGACATGTGAAAAGTGACACTTGGACTTGTCTGAATAACCAGCGCCAATAAAAGCTTTATATTGTCATATATTAAGTAATAAACAATGATCTATACAAACAGGTACTTGTTGTAGCATCCATTACCTGCAGATGGTGCAAGCACCTAAAATTGCTGTAGCTACTTTGTGTTTGGAAACATCTGCAGATCCAGTCTTGCAGATGTCCTTACTGTTGTTTCTCATACATGGAATAGCTTGGGTGTGGAACAGGTCTGCCAGTGAGAGATACAAGGCAGTTCCATAAGGTGAAGATATGATATATATTTGTTGAAAGGTTTCAGGTATTTTAAAAATATAATTAAATTAGGATAGGTAAGATTAAATACATGCAATATACAATGTGTTTCATAAAATACTTTTTACTACAGGGACGCCCGTTGAAAGTAAGCCCTCAGCAGCCTGCTATCTCTACCCCTGTTCCACCACCTCCTAAATCAAAATCCACCTCTTCTGAGTCCACCAAGCAGGAAAATGAGGAGATCCTGAACGCCATCCTTCCACCCAGGTATAGCTCTTCCCATCTATATGTTGTGCAACAAGTTCAAACCATGCTGTCATTTATCTGAACTTCTGCCAATGCAGGGAATGGATGGAAGGAAATCAGCTGTGGGTGCAGCAAGTGTCCAGTGCACCTTGTACAAGAACAGATGTTATTCACCTAGAGGAACTGCTGGACACAAAGCTGCAGCAAAGGCAGGCCAGAGAAACAGGAATCTGCCCTGTCCGCAGGGAGCTCTATTCACAGTGCTTTGGTAAGTAGGCTGAGATGCTGGTTTGCACTGAGGCCACTTATTGTGTTACAGTGATGGATGAACACACTGCTTTATAAAAGGAGCGAAAGGACATGCACTATAGCTAGTTTTGTGTTTGATACAGCTGGATTTTTTATATCTTTCTTCTGACGGAACCACATCAATATAACCTTAATATAAATTTTCTATTTCTTCAAGATGAACTGATAAGACAGGTGACCATCAATTGTGCCGAGAGGGGTCTTCTGCTGTTGCGGGTTAGAGATGAGATTCAAATGACTATTGCTGCCTACCAGACACTGTATGAAAGCAGTGTGGCTTTCGGTATGAGGAAAGCACTGCAGGCTGAGCAGGGCAAAGCTGACATGGAGAAAGAAGTAAGGACATTTAGTTATTTGTTTGACTTACAACCATTGGCATACAGAGGCCAAATGTTTGCAACAATTGGCTTTAATTTGCTACTCATCTAAAGCTATGGGAATACAGTTACAGACTGTTCTTCAGCTAGGTATCCAGCAGAGAGCATCATTTCACTTTAAGAGTCCCTGTATAGGATGGCGACAGTGCTCTCAACATAATTGATCCTGCATCTGGAACATAATTATCTGTAATGTAAGCTTGTCTTATTACGTATCTAGATTTCTGATCTGGAGAATGAGAAACAAGACCTGAAGAAGCAACTGAACGAACAGAAAGCTAAATGTGATGCAATTGAAAAAAGAGAAAATGAAAGGCGATTGGTGGAGGAAAAGAAGCACGCTGAAGAGATTCAGTTCTTGAAGAGAACCAACCAGCAGCTCAAGGTGATGTTTCTTAATTACATACCAAATAAATATTTCTTATATATATTTTATATATATTTAGCACCAATAATAGCTGTGTTGTTTGTCTTTTATTTTTTTAATTCTTATCAGACCCAGCTGGAAGGAATCATTACACCAAAGAAGTAACTACGACAAACAAGAACTGAGTTGCCGTATCCCAGCACAGAATGCTACTGAATTTGTTTCTAAATAATATCAATTAATGTAAACTTAACAGAGTGTTATTAGCAACCATTTTATTTTTCCAAACAGCATGACATGACAAGTACAGTTCTAACAATTACTGTACATTTCTCTTGAACATCAAGAGAGCATTACACCTGTAAATGATGAATGAAATATCATTCAAAAACAATTCTAGGTTGAAGGAAAAATAAAGTTGGAAAGGCAAGATACAAACAGTCACTTCCCTGAAGGAAAGTCAAGATAAGGCCACTTGATTAAGACCATTTAACATGTAGTTAGCATTCCACCTTCTGTCAACTTTACATTTTCAATAAAAACATGACATTTTTTGGCTAATTTAAATAAGGATTTGTTACATATGTTTTGTTTTATGACTCCAGTCTAGTGCTTTGATCTTTTGGCCTTTTGGCCTTCTGTGGCTGATGCTGGGGCCTTTCTGTTCTTGTTCTTGTTCTTCACATTGTGTGTTTCGTAATAACGTACACCAACTTTCTTAGCTTTCTTGGCACGGTCCATCGCTCTTCTCTGTAGAGATGGATAAAGAGGAACAGAGAAAAAATGATGAAATCTTCCGCTAAAAAAGACCAGAGCTTTTCTTCTCCATTCCTGTTTCATCAGTTAGAGGAATAGACATGAATCTAACGTGTCTACCCAGACAGATCTGTTTGACGTCAGAAAGAACAAACACCGCATACCTGTTTAGATGTCAGTCTGCGCGGCTGGGTGGACTCCTCGTCTCCCTGAACTTTCCTCTTCTTGCTCCTCTGGTTTGCAGCTGAAGTCAAACAAAGATTAACAAATATGATGTCAGTACCTGGCTGGATCTCCGTGTCAACCTGACCTACATCATTTGTATCGCTACGGATAAATACTGTACAAATCAGATTTTGTGTATTTTTGTGTCAAACCTGGGAAAACACATCATCATACCAGTAAGATATATTTTGTTCTGAGGAACCATGTAAGATTTTCTTCCATAATAATTTCTACATTCAGCACCATACAAAGTCACGGCAAACTTGTTGATGCACTACCTTTCTCCTCTGCTTGCTTAGCTGCTGCCGCTTGTTTAGTCTTGAGGTCTGTGAACGCTTTGTCAGAAAGTGCCTTAGGTATCCTGTCGAAAGAAGAAAAAAGTAAATCACTACCCAACAAAGCAAACAGTATACTCCTTTTGGATTCTGATGTCATGAACAGTAAAGAAAGTACACACAGTAACTATACAACTGCTTTTTGACTTTGGTTTCAACGGGTTGGCTGAAATTCAACAAGAGGAGATGCTGATTACAGAACACAATGCAAAAGTTATGGCAACAGGCCATTGATCACAGTCAAACCCAGGAGCCTTTAAGTCAACAGGGGCTTAAAGGCTGTTTAGCACAGACCACCTAAAATGCATGGCAAGAAATAAGTGAAATACACAAAACAAGGAAATGTGTAAGTGAGGTTTGGGTGAGAGCATACAGACCGGATTGCAGAGAAACGTTTGGATTTGGCTCTGTCCAGGAACTGCTTGTACTTTGAGATCTTCTCATCCAGCTCACGAATCACTTCACGAGAACTCTTGTTAGCGTTTGCCTTGCCAGTCTGAGAGGTTGTGGACTTTGAGGACTTAGTCTCTCCATCAGCTGCATCAACACTGGTCCCGTCTTCCTCTCCACCCTCCTCTTCCTCACTGCCTTCCTCGCCATCAGAGCCAGAGAAGTCAGCTATATCCAGGTCAGGCATCTCCACAGCAACCAAGTCTTCCTCACTGAACTCAGGTGCCACGTTGATCTTTCCAAAGTTCTGTCGCACATTGGCCAGAATCTTCTGGACCTGCTCCTTCTGTCTCTGCTGACGCTGCTGCTGTTCCTCATGTTCCTCTGAGATGGCGTCCGGCTTGTCTGGCTGTTCCTCCTGTACATTCTCAACAACCTCTGAGGGTCCTCCAACTGCCAATTGCTCCTTGTCCTAGAACAATTACAGAGACAAAACACATGTTGACACATAGGGCACAGGTTAGTGTACACACACAAAAAGTAATTTACTGAAAAAAACAAAATACACAGGTGGAATATTCAGTAAACTCTTACCTCGTGATCACCCTCAGGTCCAGGGGGTTTCACAAAGAAGGGGATACGTCCTCTCTGCCAATCATTCAGCACCATTTTGGAGACCGTGGAAAGATCTGGTTCACCGCCCTGTACAAGACCAAAAATACATTGCTTAAGCTTAAGATTTAAAACTAGAGGTTCACATACACTTTGCTATTTAATTGAAAGCCGCCAAGAGTACAGCACATTATGTATGCAAGTAGAAAATAGATTAGATTAGATAGATTATTGCTGTAGGGTTTGCTCTAGCACTACATACAATGGACAGTTAATATACTCCAATCTATTAATGAAGTTTTGTTTGGTAACTATATTCTCTGCTTCTTTATGGCAGACGAAATAAAAAGAATAAAAACAGTTTTAAGTATAGTCTGTTAAGGTCCTGTAGAGCATTCAGACCTTCAAAAGTTTCCCAGTGCGAAATGCCAGCTTCTCAAGAAAGTCTTCAGCAGAGTTCCAAGTGGGGATGCGGTAGGTCTTCTGAATGTATTCTGGCTTGGCGCGCTCCAGTACTGCCCCAATGTGCTCCTCTGGATTCCTGATCTTCTCCACTTGAACCTTTGTGAGGAAGGGGGAAGAAATAGGCGTGCAGTTTAAGATATGAACCTGCAACCTTTCAGTTACGGGGCCTGCATGGCCTACATGTGAAACCTAGCATCTGGAGGATCAGAATCAGAGCTGATCAAGGCAGCAGGTGTATCCGAGGCAGAACCTTGGTACAGAATAGAAAAACAATAAGAAAGACTTACCACTCCTTTCAAGACAATATCAGATTCACTGTCTTCTGAAGGGTAGACGACACCAGGACAGTCAATGAGGAAGATGCGCCTCATCAAAGTTATGTACTGCCACACCTAAAAAAGTAAGGAGATTAATGCTGTCTGTATGGTCAAATCATTTCAGTTTCACATGAGGTGTGTGTAATATTTTACCTTGTCTGTACTTAATGATATAAAAAGACACGTCAACTATGATGAGTGGGGCAGCAAAATATATATTTTTAAAACTATCTTTTGGAAGAGAAAATCAAAAACTGCTTTTGGTCAACAACTGTGACAACAGCATCCTTTCTTTTCTCCTCATGCTTCCAACAACTTCTCCTTTCCACGATTGCTTCAAGAGACAGAGGGACTGCAACTTTTCACAGAAATATAAACACCCATCCATTCTAACAAAAGGGGGAATGAGGGTCACAGCAGTGTTGTGGATCTTGAGCTTGTCTGGCTGTCATCAAGTAGTGTTGAATACGTGGTGAGAATCAAAAACCAGGTGAAAAATATCGGAGGCCACAGGCCCAGATTTATTGGATAGGTGTGCAAAACAAATCTCCCCTCTGTTGTGGTCCAGCTTGACAGCTTTGGCAAGCATGGAAAAGGGAAGATTTGTTCCTTTCTTTCCTCTTGACCCTGTTTTGGACATTTGGGTTTTCCGACTCTTGATCATTTCCAAACAGGATAAACAGCCCCAGCGAGAGGAAATTAAGGATAAAAATGGTTGTTCTTCTTTCTATTGGCCCAGTCTTGTCTTAGATTTTCAGTTATATAGTTAAGAACACGGACCCGACTACTTTTGTTGTTGCAGCTATCAACAATTACCAAGTTAAGAAGAGGAACATTGATATTTTCACCTCACCTCCCTACTGATTCAAGGCACCTCTTTCATTTCTACACTACACACTTAAAAAAAATACAATTTCCTTATTTGCTCCTACTTTTCTTTTCCAAGTAGTGTTTATGTAGTACTGGTCGGATCTTTTCTTTTCATACACTATATTCTAGGCCTTTACACCGTCTTCTGTGTCAATGTAAAAGTACAATGTAGGTTAACCATCAGAGTTCAGACTAAAAATTTTCTATAAAATAAATCAATCTTAAATCATTGCTCACGTTGTTCTGTTGCATATTACGGGTCTAAATTTAGTTTGTATTGTTGTTGAATCTTACCTTCGTTTCCCCGGCAAGGGGAGCCACATTGCAGACCTTCTTAGACCTCAGTGTGTTGATGACTGAGCTCTTTCCCACATTAGGGTAGCCAATGAAACCCACACTTATCTGTTTCTTGTCTGTGTGGAGCTGTGGGAGGCAAAAATAAAGTCAGTGTTGTGTTTCCTAAACAACAGCCTCAGTCTGTCCTCACTCCATGAAGGTAATTTTAGATGGGGATCTATTGCCATCAGAAATAAAGGGAATTTGTCATCACTCCAGAACTACAAGTTTATTCAAAACATATACTAAAGTACACACACGCTGAGATCTTAAACTTTTTAAAACAAGACATATAAATATCTTTTATTTTTAACCCAGGAGGTAAACTCTGAAGGATGTTTTGGAAGAGTTTATTTGTCCTTGTTATCTCCTGACTCTTTGGTGACTGTGGTCCAACAGAGAAAAACTTTTAAAAGGAAAAAAACATAGAACGTTTTCTGTGTCTTTCTCATAAATGTCTCTTTAATCACAATATTAAATTTAAGAAAATTCCATTTGAATATCAAACCATTTTGATTTTTTGCCTTTCAGATCATTTAAGTCCCACGCTTTCACAAACACACTCCATTCCACAGCCACTACGCAACTTTGCATGTTCAGGTCTAGGGGTGTGTGTGATCTAGGCAAAATCTTTTAGGTAATTTTATGTCGGGTTAGTGATGTATGTTATAATGTTGTCAAAGTTTTGGACAAAAATGTCTAAACGGAATGTCTTTTGACTATTCCACTGAATTATCATAATCAGATCGATGCATATATCATAACAGTGGTTGTGATGTTACCATTAAGCAGTCCTGATCAGCATTGCTATCAATGGCTTAATACAGCCATAAATATAAATTGCAGGGATGGGTCATGATTTATTTTCCTTTGTTTTTACCAGTGCCTGGTAATAACATGTCACTACCAGGCATCTGTACGTGTGTGTGGCACGTTCAGTACGGCAACAGTGCTGTGTGATGGGCTAGATGCTCATGTAACAGCTTAATAGTGTTAAGGTTGTGTTTTGTGTTGGCTGCTGCAGAGGAAATAAAGTTCCTGTTTACAGTTTATACGACAAAACAGCGTCTCGCTGCCACCCTTCATCAACAGAGTGGTCCAGGATGCTAGTTACCAGCTTGATTCTTGACTTTACAACTTGCTCGAAGTGTGGAGATGGACCTGGCTATACGTTGCCAGGTACGAGCCAGACTAAATTAGTCTAACACGAAAAGTCCACAGAGTCTGGCTGCGTCACTTTACTGCTACGCCACGATTTTGTTCCGTCCTCGGTCCAGTGTCAACTTCCACTGGAAGCGTCTCAGAAGCATTTCAGCAGCGGAGATTGAAGCCTGCCCCGCATTACTGATTTTTGTACTTCTATTATGATTAAGTGGGCTACGTAGTAAAATTGTTTTTTTTTTGTCTGTTTTAAACGTGTTTATTGGGGGTGTTTTATTTTGAAAATTGACCAGATTCTCCTTGCCATTCTGTGTCTGACTTCCTGCCCAGTTCGATCTGCTCTGTGCTACTTGACGTGGCTTCCATTAATAACAGACTAGCTTCCTATTCTCTGCGGAGAGCCACATCTGGGACTCTTCTGGGACGCGTTGCGGTTGAATCTGGTGGACAAGCACTGACTAGAATGGCCGTGATAAGCGCCGGCAACCACGGTGCAGCCTTACACAACACAGGCGTATTCAGTGGACTTTGGAGGAACCAGTGTGGCCCAACTATGGATCGAGGCCAAAAATCTGGAACTGGTAACATAGGTAAGGCAAGTCACAGTCATTTGAGGGCGCTCTCACTGTCTCTGTCTCACTCTGTGTGGGGGAGGAGGAATCATCGAAAAATGATGGAATAGTTATAATAATTATATAATAATTGATAATAGAGTATTATTTTAATAATTTGATTTCAGTTTTGATACAAGCATGTCCTTTACTGGGGAACTGTGATCAAATTTTGCACAGTATGAGACAGAAGAGAAGTAAACCCCAAGCACTAATATCCTAAATTATAGGTAGTAGATTTAGTTTCGTAAGTAAATCTATAAATCTTTTACATGAGTAAACAGTACACTCAGGCTCACACTACCAAGGCCTTAAATTAAAAGTCAAAGCAATATTTCTGTTGCAGATAAAATGATTCCACAGACTGGACAATAAGATAAGGCACATAAAGGCAAACAGCTGTGGAATCTGCAATTGTTATTGGATCAGTAAATGGTTTAGGCTCTCGACAAATCAAAGATAATTCAATATTTTGACTTTGAGGCACGTGCTTACCTTGCCAAACTGCCTGAGCAGCTGGATGAGGGATCCCTTACCAAATGAGTTGGTGAGGCTGGCATGGAAAGCCAGAGTGGGGTATTCTTGGGACAAAACAGCTACCCACCGTTTCTGGTTCAATATTGAGTGGAGACAAAGAGACAGCGACACAATTTAATACTATGAAAAGACACAATCATATCCACTCAAATGGGGAGCCAAAATGGACATATTGTAAATTTTCTTACCGTGACCCAGGTGGGAATGAGGTCACACTTGTTTAGAACAAAGATCAGATGTTTCCAGGGTTTCTCCTTCTTCATGTATGTCTCTATGCTCTTAGAGCGTGTTCCCATGGGATCACGGGCATCCAGCACTTGGATGACGACATCAGATGAGTCAATCACCTATTACAAGAATACAGTCAGGAATAGGAATGATCCTGTAACACTTCAGTGTACCAACTCTACATTAACATGATGCACAATACTGAGAGGAGGATGGAAACAATACCTTGTAAAGTTCTCCCCAGATCCTCTTGGACTGACCCTTTTTGAAGATTTCCTCACGTGCTTCCTCTCTGTTACAAAATGAGAATTAAAAAGATGACTATATTTGCTACCTTTAAAAATCCAGCAACCATGCTTCTGCCCAGTTAGAGTGGCCAGTAGATTGGATTGATGAAGTATCTTCTGAAGGTCTTACCGGACCCCTGTGTCCTCTGTCATCAGGTCTTTGTCATTGTCTGCATTGTAGCTCAAGGCTGAGGCCTCAGCTTGTTCTACGAGGTCCTTCACATCCTCCACCATGAGACTAGGCTTCTTCCTCTGAGCCTTGGGCCCAAATGTAATCTCAAAACCCTCTGTGTCTAGAATGTGCACCTTGGAGTTCTGTGGGCGAAGATACAAAAAGTAAAAGATTAGACTTACACTTCTGAGTTTTTTTAAATTAACAGTAAGACATAAAAAAGCAAAGTCTAACGTCCAAAATGTTTTCTTCTATTAAACACAAGTGAATTCTAAAGATATTTCATTCCGTTTTTTTACTGAACTTTAGTGTGGTAACTATTTGTGTAGAGGAAATTGTCAGGGTGGATCTGTTGTGACTGGAGGGTTGCATACAGTAAACAGAACACCCAAGTATGTAACACCTAAGCCAATGAAACCGCCAAGCCTGTGCCAGGACTGATCAAGTGTCCCAAAGATCTTAAATTACAAGGCATAACAGCAAAACTGCCATGGTTTAATTGATCTGCCTTTCTGGAATACTGGTTAATCAACGGTCAGAAGTATTTTTCAAACATCATAAATTGGCTTTAAGCCCGATACTAGATGAAGATGTATTCACCGAGAGGGGGAACTTGTGCTTTTCATAAGCATGAATGGCACCCTGACCTGACATACTGCTGTTCACATATTATCACCTGAGTGAAATGAATAATAAATGAATAAGATGGTGATCGCAATTTAAGAGGGAGCTTTTTTGGAAACTTGTCAATCAATAATTAGATGTAAATTTAACATGGGGAAAAAAATTCAGTATCTTTAGCTGATTCAAACTCAGAGAAATATCTCACTATGAGGGACTATTGAATTTAGATTAAAAAATAAAAAAGACTGAAACTGACCCAATGATACGTTGGAAGAGAAAAAGACGAACTGCATGTTTTTCTTAATCATGTTGGTTAATGTTGGAAAAGTTAAAGCCTGGCAGAGTGCAACTCTCCCATGTCAAGCACAGTGCCAGGACACTCAGGGTCACGATGGGATAGACAGAGAATTGAATGAGGATTAAAGTGAGCCGTCATGTTCATCCCACCTCATAAAACAAGCTACTGAGGAACACAGAGGCATGATTCTCATCTCTGTTGCATGATATAAGCCAGTTAAAAACATCAATAGTTTTTACCTGGTTGCATAATGGCAGCTACACTATCATTCTGTGGCAAACACTGTACACTCACATGGGCTTTCACTCTATCATGCAAGAGGGACATGGGTAGTTTGCTTTGTTTCATCACTACACGATATGGATCCTTCTGTACTGCTCCCATCTCTTCCTGGAACTTCTGGAGTGAAGACTGCTTGATCACACGGGTATTTGCTGAAATAGAAGAATGTAGATGCATTTTCCATTTCTGAACACATTTATAACCCCTTCTCTTATTAGCTGCCAATTTCCCCTCACACTCACTGATGAGTTATAGCAAGGCTACTCAAATATGTTGATTAAATGGTCCTCATAAATATTACATGAGATCAAAAGACCTTCCTTCTTTCAACACCTGCCATCACTACAATAAATGACCAATGCATTCAGTCAATTGCCATTAGTTAACAAGTTGAATAGTTGATTTTTGCATTCATTTGCGGTCAAAGTATGAATATTTGATTTGTAATGACCTCAAATTCAAAGTTCAGGCCTCTATTCAGGCGTCTATTTTCGCTGGAGGTGTTCCCAGTTGCAAAGTCTACAGTCTGTACAGCCCAGTGCACGCCTTATTGCCATTTCAGTACACTAGGTTAGTGTTATTCACTTTGCTAACATAAAATGGCAATAACTAGTGAGGTGTGCTGAACAGATAATCTTTCAAAATGAAACTGCCTTACAGTAACATAAGCCTATCACTCTGGGAAGCAGCAGCAGAAGTAATGTAAATGAATAAAACAACATCCATCCATATCACAAAACATTTTTCATCTATAATCCATGAAGAGGCAAGTACTTCACAAAAGCTCTGCACTGTCCAACAGGGTGGTACACTCTCTCAAGGTTGTTATTCTTATTCTTGCAAGTATGCCAAAGCAGCACTTAAGTGTCACATTTAGTAATGTAATTTCCCTCCATAAAGACATTCAGTGCAAATACAATATACTGACAGCTACCACAGCAGGTGCTGCTTTAACAAAGAAAGTACACTTACCAAACCATTTGATGTTGGGTTCAACTCTGGCTACAGTCCCTGGAGCCACTGTGGACTGGTACTGTAAAGGTTTGATGACTTTTCCACGGTTATTACTGGGAACAGAAGATCAGCATCAGTGTATGCGTCACATTTTTTTTGTTGTATTTCACTGCCACTTAAGAAAATGTGCCAATCTGTGGGCCTCAAGAATAATTCAAATCTGCATCAGTAATTACCATCTCTGCTTTTGTCTGTACATATTCAGACGCTTGATAGTGGATCGGTCCCTCATATTGTTCCCACCAGCACCATTCGCTCGATCTGTGAAATACGTGTAGTTGCTTTAAAGATATAACTTTATCGGTGCAACAACGCACCCATTATCAGAACATATTAGCTTTTTCAAGAGATACCAAAGCTGCTTCAGCAAACAATGATCAACTAATAATAGCAGCTGTTTCCAGACTATATGACAATTACTCTAAACACCACTAAATACAGTTCCTTCCCTTAAAGTTAATTACTTCAGTGTCAAATTTAAAAGGCCTGAAGCTGCCGTTACTGCATTTGTTATACACTTAGAAGTAAGATAAGTTTTAGTTGAGTCACCCGAATTATGTGTTTCATTGTGTCATGCTGCTCACACACTGTTATTGAGTAGTTTCATTTAACAAATGTCTTTTCCTGCGTATAATATCACCAGGCTAGCAATTATTAGCATTAGCTGTAAACAAACGTTGTGGCTAATGGGGGGTTAGCTCACCAGGGTTGCTGCTGGACGACGAGGGGTTTATCGAGCTTTTCCCCTTGAACCGAGGTTTCACCATTTTGACCGCTTAATCGACAAAGCCTTCCCAGACAAATCAAAATTAGAGACCACAAGAAGGTTACTAAGAGCTGAAGTTTAGCTGCTAGTTATCCCTTCAGCTCAAAACTGTACACCGTACACGTGCTGTTACGGTGAAACAGGAAGGACGTCAGCGAAGGAGCGACACCGAGAAGAACCAATCAGAGAGCAGACGTCGGTGCACCAGAGTGACGGTATGATGAAATAATTTTAGCTGCATGAGAGGCAGTAAAAATCATAACTGTAAAACGCATTTAACATTTAGAGAGGTTATCTTTGGATTCATTCTGAAATTAGCTGTATCTACATCGATATACATTTATAGATTACAAAAAGTTGTCTAAAAGTAGTTCCATAACACATAAATCAAGTAAAGCAGCTGTCACATTTAAGCCCAGACAAAAAAAAAATCAACAGAATCTAGAGCTCAATTATGACTCTATGAAAATGTTGCATTGCTATACTCTGTTTTTCCCAGAAGAGGGTGCAACACAGTTTCTATTTATGGCAGGGCTATTGCCATATGCCAACACACCCTGCTGAATTTCCAACATTACCTGAGTGGCTGCTCTCTGTAATTTTAAGTTAATAATAAGGGTCATAGGATTTAGGCCATATGTTGTTGTTATGGTCTTACTGCCGAATCAAAGCCCCCCCCCCCCCCCCCCCCACACTTCAAGGAATACAATTCTAGTTGGGAAATTCTGAATCTTCTTCTTGTCCTAAAAGTAAGAAGGATGTGTCCTACAAATACACTTTGGCAATAATAAACAGCTACATGAACTGTAATGTTGTTGCTCTATATTAATTTTAAATGAAGGATTCATCCTGACTATGAGGCGAGTTGCAAGACAAAAAAAAAACCCCTGCCAGTACAATATGATTTTCATTAACACAGAACACCATAATGTATGAAAGGCCAAGTTTGTCTGGATGTGATGACGTTGAGTGTGTATGGTATGTTACACAAGTGTGGCTCAGTGCCAACCTAGGCAAGTTTGTAGAGACTCCGGTCTGGAGAGGCGCCATCCAGTTTTCAGTTTATAAAGCAGGGAGACCAAGGAATGTTCTCTGTTCATTTTCATACAGATGAAATTGGAACTGACTGCATCAGCAGTTGCACTGCAATAAGTTATTTTTTAAATCAGAAAGTAAAATTTCTTTCCTCTTTAAGCTGAAATTGAAGCCGAAGAAACAAAAATAAACTGTTTAGGTTCAATCTTACTATTTCTTCTGTTTTAAAATTTACATTTACAATATAAAAGTCAATCTTACAAAGCATATTTATGCAGACAGTAGATAAACAAACACTGTCAAGTTCCTTTTATTTCATGCCAAATTAATTCAACCCAAACTGTAGTTACGTAGTTATGCACAGCCATTTCTGCATGCAGTAGTTGCCTTTCCATGTCTTTTTGCACCTGATGCACCCTGTTAAATGCCTTTAGCAATCAAAAATATCCTTGCATGTAGTGCCTTCAAATCCAGCACATTATGAGAGCATATGAAACCCTTATTCTCAGCACTGGTTTAATCAGTTTGTAGCAGAATGATTTTTTGTTTCTCTGAGGAAATTTAGTTTCCCCTCATAAAACTGCACCACCAGTTAAGCAGCACATGTACCCTGTTGTGAGTTTTATTGGTGTAAAATTGCTTGTAATCTTTGCTTAAGTCTAGTGTTTTTCCTACTGCTGAGGGCATTAATAATAAATTCACTCTGTATAGATGGTAGATGGATGGTTCTTTTGCATTCCTGCATGTAAATGCTGATTAATGCTTGTCCAATCAGTTGGCTTTTTATGTGGTGGCAGCGCCATGCCTAACAACACGTTTTCATGCAGATCAAGGTCACATGAAGTTCAGCCAACCTGGTTCAGCAGCTGTAAAACGCACAGTCGCTGAATACAGACCTGAGGACAGACAAAATATACCCTACATTCATTCTGATGACAGAATGACTCAGACTACATACTGTAAACTGTGTTTAGTGCTTTTAAGAGGTTAAACTAAAAAAACAAATACTATAATGCTTGCCAGTAAGTAGAAAGCAAATTTAGCAACATTATACTGCCTGCTTGGACAGTATCACTTCTGTACCACTCAAGCAGGTTTTTTCATAGGGCATCAGCAGTTGGCTACTCTGTTCTTTTCTTATCAAGACATAAAAATACATAAAAAGCAGCTCTAAACTAAACCACAACAATAAATAGCAGATTTATAATACAGCCACAATTCTGTAACACACTAGATTTTATAGGCCCATATAATAGGATAAACTTTGAAAACACAGGATCTTCATGTTCTTTGGCCTCCCATCAGAGTGCTAGGGTGAGTACACTTGACAGATGTTGTGAAAATTTCCCCCCATTACTTCTACTCTTTGGTCTTCTGGCAGTTGAGCAAGGTAGGTACTTGTTTATTTCTGACTGTGTGGAGTGCCAACCACTGAAATCATAGCATCCATCTTTCAGGCAGACATTCATTCAGCTAATCAGTCTCCCCTGTTTGTGACAGACAGCTCAGGGGTTAGGGAGTGGGGTGTCAGCAGTTAGCACTAGAACACCTGTGTTTGATAAGGTTATGACATAACCTTGCACAGATTGATACTTCAGTCCCAGCACGTGTCTCTCAGATTTTATGTATTCAGCTAAAGAGATTCATTCCAAAATAAAACAAAAAAGTGACACCTTCTTTCATATTGATCAATGGTATAAAAAGCATCAAAAGGATAAAGGATGTTTAACTTTAAAACTGTGAAGAGACCTACAATAAAACCTGCTTGAACACGGTGTTATTTTAATAAAAGCATTTTGGGTTTATTGACATGTTTTCTTGGGAATTACTTTAATCATCTTTAGTTGAAATAAAACAATTCTTGCAAGTTTTGTAAGAATTAGGAGAAGAGAATAAAATACAAAAAACAATAAACTGTGTTTTAAAAGAGATTTGTTTAATGGAAAACAGTAAAAATCTAACAGCTTACAACAGTAACAAATTTACAGTGTGTTGTAAAACCACAGCATCAGAAAAGTACACAGTTTCATCATAAACAATACAATTAAGCTATTTAAGCTATTACTTCCTCACTGTTGCTCGGAAAGACTATAATACACTGTGGCAGGAATTATAAACATTTGCTTTAAAAACGTTTGCACCCCCACATTTCCCATTTACTTGGTGAGAAACACCAGATGCTGAACATTTCGGTGGGTAAAGGCACTTGAGGTTTTTAAAAAATCTACAATACACAGTGAGACAAGAATAAGTAAAATGGAGTTAATGTGACGGATGCTGCTTCACAAGTCAGCGGCCATGCATTGAACCTCCCCATAACTGTTCATGAGGAATGTGTGCATTTATGGATAATATTTCAGCCTGGCTCACTTGCCGAGCCTCTGCTTTGAGTCAAAATTGGAACACCAGCTAAATGACAGAGCAGAGCGCCCAGCTGGCATAACTAAACAAAAAAGGAAAAATTGATAAAGGCCTGAAGGAAACTCCTCCTTATAGCCTCACTGTGATGATAATATAAAGCTAGCATTTCTGTTGAAAGTGGCTTAACTCGAGGGCTACTGAAGTGCTGAAGGCAGATGTTCACTGCTTTGTAATTAGCCATTTCAAGTTTTAATGTATCGAAACGGGAATCACTACCACAATAAGGGTGTCATAATGCATAACACATTAGATCTTTATAAGTGGAAACAAGAATTTACAGCCATGTTAGCAGCTTTGTGAGGCAGTACGTAAGCACAATGGTGCTTTGAGCTAAAGGGAAGCACCAGGGAATCACTAAAGTCAGGATTCATCCTCTGGAGACCCTGACTGTTTGTACAAAATTTCATGGCAAACCATTTAGTTGAAATATTGCAGTCTGGAGTGGTGGATGGACCAACAGACCCACACTGCCATATGTAGAGATTATTAGACTATTAGAGACTAAAGATTAAATGATGGCAAGCAGTATCTATTAAATCGCTTGATCACCCAGATCTGGGAATATTAAGTTATTTATTAATAAGCTGCTTGGCTTTTAACCAGAACCAGGTAAGATCACATCACACCTGTTTTAGCTTCTTTGCACTTGCTCCCTGTTTGTTTAAGGATTGATTTTAAGATTATTGATTACTTTTAAGGCTCCCCATGGCCTGGCTCTATCTTATATTTTACAAATATTAACTCTTTGTGAACCTCTGCGCAGTTTAAGATCTTCAGGCAGTGGTCTTTTGTCTCTTCCTGTGTACATGTTAAGAACTAAAGGGGACAGAGTTTTTGTTGTCAAGGCCCCAAGGCTCAGGATCGACCTGCCTACGGAAATTAGGCTTTCAGTTTCTGTGTCTTCATTTAAAAACCCACTTTTATCAGAAGGCATATCCTGATTGTATCTGAACTGCCTGTTTATGTTAAGGTTTTTATTCTAGTTTATCTTCTCTTAAATCCTTCGCAGTTAATTGTTATATTTTATTGTGATTTCTATTTTTATTTTATTTCATGTCATCTCTCTCTTTTGCCATATCTTTTGTTAAGCACTTTGTATTATTGTTAAGTGCTATATAAATAAAGTTGATTATTATCATCAAGACAAATTCTGGACTCTTGTGTCCATAGCGCTACTTTCCCCATATCAAAGCACTGAAGAAAGCAACGCACTGCAGCCAGGAACTCCTGTCTCCAGATCGTACCCACACCTCATTTATATATAGAGGTACTATTGCCAGTTTCAGGAGGGGATTAGACAGATTTGAAATGACATAAGGGTAAAAGGGGGAATAAAGAGAAGTGAGAACCATCAATCATGAAACAAATGGAAAAAACAATCCTGGAAAAACCCAGCTGGAGATGAAGTGATAGACTATGTTGTTTTTCATGAGTTTCACTAATGTGTAATAGCCATTCTGTTTATTTTCACCAAACCTAAATCTTCTACTTATTTAGTTCATGGCTTGTCATGGCCACAAGTTTCACACCACATAAATCGTTCTCTAAGCCCTTAAATGAATGATGGTTATGAGTGCTAATCTGTGGCATGTAAACTACCATTTTTGGTTGCGATAAGCCACAATAAGTTGAAAATGTATTTGTAAGTGTATTCAGTGCAGGCTGTACACTCACTGAACTTGGCTCACAGGTCAGTTTCCACT